GCGATGGGACGACGCGACACTCACGGCCCTCTCCGGCGCACTGCGGGTCATCAGCTGTGCGGGACGTCCCGCAGACGTGGCATCCAGGTGCACACGACTGCTCTTCACGTCCTGTCCGATCTTCTTGGCTTTCTCCCATGCTCCCGTTTGTTCCTTCTGGTACGGAGTCATTCGCTCGTAGGCCTGCCAAGCCAAGCAGTATTCGGACAGCCACTGATGCTGATCCAGAGCGGATGGAGTCCCCGCGACGCGTGAGCCGCATATCTTGCACATTTGCTTCTTGGGCCCCCCTTTCAAGTTTTTGCCGCCGCCTTTGCCTGAGTCAGCGTGCTCCCTCTTCTTCTGCGGAGTCTTCTCCCCAGGTTTCGGTGGCGGTGGTCCAGGAGGACTCGGCGGAGCCTGCGATCCGCGCCTCTCCCGACTTGCCTCAGACCGTCTCTTATGCTTCTTTTCTTTCTCCTTCTTCTCTTTCCGGTCTGAGCGGTCCCTACGGCCACGGGATCGCGACCGACGGGAACGGGAGCGACGCCTGTCGGCGCGTCCGCGTTCCTGACTGCCTTTCTTTGGCACTAAGCGCGCCTTCCGCTCTTTCTTTCCCTCCGGATCCGGTTCCTCTTCCGCTGCATCCGGACGGTCCCCAGACACCTCCTCCTCCTCGGAGGATTCTCTCTTGTCCATCGGACTAAAGGGCGACGGCTTGAGGAGCATGCACCTGGCCAAGCCGAAACGAAACGACATGCAGAGTATAAGTATATATATGCTAAAACCGTGCATCGAAACATATAGATTGCTTCGAAATACATATAGAGATATAATAAAGACACGTGTCAGCGGTTCGCAAGCACGTTCCGCGCGCATGTAGCAAGCGGAATCACCCTGATGGTGATCACGCAGGCAGACACCACGCAGGTGCCAGAACGCCACGAAGGCACTCGACACACCTCGCAGGTATGTCCATGACCACCGCGCAGGTAGTCTGCCATAAGCACCACGCAGGTGCTTGCTCTCACCACGCAGGTGAGCACAACGCATCCCGCAGATGCGTCTGCGATCACCTCGCAGGTGATCCGTTGCAAGCACCCCGCAGGTGCTTGCCCTCACCACGCAGGTGAGGAGAGCACATCCCGCAGATGTGCACATATATCACCTCGCAGGTGATCCGTTGCAAGCACCACGCAGGTGCTTGCTCTCACCACGCAGGTGAGGAGAACACATCCCGCAGATGTGTGATCACCTCGCAGGTGATCCGATGCAAGCACCCCGCAGGTACTCGCTCCCATCACTTCGATGAGAGCACAACATCACACAGATGTTTCCGGTCATCACCCCGCAGGTGATGCGACGTACAAATGCCATGTCGCTGCGACACTTTGTACCCCCAAGGAAAACAAGACATGAAATCGACTCAGACCACAAGATTCCTTAATCATAAAAATTATAATAAATCACTTGGAAAGAAAGAAACAAAAACCAAAGTGAGACCATGACACAATGCAGATTCCAATTCCAACAAACAAACCCAGCGCACCTCCAGGCAGCGTCTGTGCAGCACGGGAAACAGACACACTTGAGCCTATATGCGTGACGACATGACATATAATAGAATCCTTGTATACCAGCTGTGGCATGAAATATTTCTCCAACTAAGACATGTTGTTTCATATCTCACTTGCGCCGCAACCCCTCCATGCCATTTGCTTTTCCTCAGCATGACACGGAAAATTTGTCCCTGCTACTTGTAACCTCTACGCGCCCAACAGCTAACAGTGCAATAAGCGCGATGATAGCACCTTGAGCAACCACCTTTGTATCGCTGCAAGACATCCTTTGGGATCTTCTTCAACAAGGTGTCCCTGCGATCATTGTATCCCCCCTCGGACATGTCTCCCGCGGCGGAGGATGCCGCAACAGCAGCGGGACGCTTCAAAATCTTTTTCACGGCAGACGCAGGCCTTGCCATACCCTTCTTCTTGCCTTTCGACTGCTTGGCAGGTTTCTTGCAAGGCCTTGCCTCAAGATTTTTTCCAGCCGCCCCTTTCCCTTTATTAGTCAACTCCTCCCGCAAAGCCGCGATTGCCGCTTGCGGCCCGCAGGTCTCGCTCTCTGCTTCCTGCCGTTTCTCTGCCTCTGCAATGGGCTGCGTGGCAGCAGCAACAGGCTTCGAGTCTTCCAAAGCCAACGCAGGCGCTGCCACGGTCACCTTTGCGTCCCGAGGCTCCAACATCCGAAAGCCTGGTATGTCAACCTCGGTCTGTCGAGATTGCGTCTGCACACGCGCCACTAAGGTGGCTGCAGCATGCACCAAAGCAGCGGGATCAACTTGACCACTTGCCGGCAACACTGACATGGAAGACATGCCTTCCTTAGGTGCCCTCAAACGGAAATCAGCGATGACCTGCCGCAACCTTGCTTTATCCATAATTTCCGGGGAACCCGGAATCAATCCCGTCGGAAATGCAGCAGCAAACAAAGAAACTGGAATCTCCTCTGGATTCTCGGGCAAAATTTCCAAACGGACACTGGCACCTGCTGCCTTATTCAGCCAACGGCGCATGCGCTCCTTATGTGCCCTCAGGAGCTTCACCTGGTCCGATTCTGGCCACGCCTCAACATTGTCCGCATAGAAGGACAATGCCACCAAAGCGCCATAGGACGCCTCCGTTGGATTCTTCAGACCCAAAGTGGCAGCAAAATTGGTCAAGAGCTCAAGTTTATAAACTCCAGCGGCACGAGATTCTAATTTCTGCCACCATTCCTTGGATAAATAGTTCGGCAAAGCGGTGAAGTCTTGCAAGCCAGCACGGCTTGCCAGATCCTCCTGTGACTCACTTTGCTCGGCAACCAATGCCTTCAACTCATCTAAAATTCCTACACTCCAGACATCGGAGAAGGACTCCATGATGCGACCCGCCATCTCCACAGAGATGACGTGCTTCTGCACAATCGGCTTGAGTCGTTCCAATTGTTTTCGCTGCAGCTCATCGTAATGAGGAAGGGTCTTTACACCATGCAAAAACTTTTGGGTCGAAACTATTTCTTTCAAAACTTGAGCCATGACGCCTACGATCATACAAAAACGATAAAAAAAAAGCAACCTACTTAGTAAAACCTTCAAAATCCAAGAAAAACACAAGTAGCTAAGTAAAAATAACTTTTTCATGTTCCACCACCTTACAATACTTATCCCTACTTATAAGTAGCTAACAAACTTATAAGTAACACCAAAAAATCTCCTACTTAGTTTTACTTATCACACTATCTCCAGACTTGTGCCATCGGCAAGTCTACTTAAAGTCAAGGTATAAGTCCACAAGTAGCAAGGGACACCAATGTAGCCACGCCAACGAAGCTATGGGATTCAGCCGGAAGGGAATGTGGACGCACATTCCTGTACCTGCATTCATTTGTTACTGTGTTTCCCGTCTACTTTGCATATGAAAGGACTCAGTTCCTGATGGATCACTTAAAAGATCCAATTTTGTTTAGTGTGATTCCTATGGTGGCTCCGGCATGGTGCCATAGGGCCATTGGAGGCAACCCCTTTGTCGGTGAATGTCGGCTGATCGGATTACTGAATTGACATTTTTAAGCTGGCAATTCGATTACGTAAAGTGCAACAGTTGGCCCTTCCGTTTCTCACCATTTTGTGCAGTCCTGTGGCTCCCGCTGTCCTTTGTGAACCCTTGGAACCTTCATCCCTTCAAGTTTACTGCTGTGCCGAACAACCACAAACTTCCTTTTTCCGCAGCTCAAGCTTTTCGCATTTCAGCATGGCAAAACAGGCAACAGGCATGTCCTTTTCCTGCAGGTGTGGTCACTTTGGTTTTTGGTGAGGTTGAACATTTTGTGCATCTAATTACTTGGAACTTGAACAGCTGTTTGTGCCCATGTGGCCCATGTGGCTGGATTTGACTACGGTCCCTTTTGGGAACAACCCACGATTATCTAGGTTTGAACTGAGTCCTTGCAGAGCACTTTAATTTATTCTTGTTGTTTCACTCCTGTCACCAACTAGTCCCCATTTGGTCCCTAATTCTTCCCCCGTGCCCCTCTGTAATGTGTTGTGGGGTTCAGGTGTGTGCCCTGTGCTGGTTAGGTCCGTTTCGCCGCGTAGGTTGGTTCTGGAGGTCCGTCTGTTCCCTTCCCCCCTGCGCTGTTCTGGCCTTTTGCCCGTCGTTTGTGTCCGCTTTTTTCTTCCTCTTGCCTTTCAGGGTTGTCCCGGCTCCGGCCGGGTGTGTGTGTGTGTAACATCTAAATAGATGTAAAACCTATCCTTTTTTCTCTCCTTCTAACAAGGGTTGTCAATGTCAAAGCAGGGGGCATGGCAGCTGTTTCCCTAGCCATGCCAACGAAGCTATGGGATTCAGCCGGAAGGGAATGTGGACGCACATTCCTGTACCTGCATTCATTGGTTACTGTGTTTCCCGTCTAATTTGCATATGAAAGGACTCAGTTCCTGATGGATCACTTAAAAGATCTAATTTTGTCTAGTGTGTGCACCATAAACCCTCATTAATGTGGTATCCCGATTAGTTCAATGATTCACTATTGCGTCAAGTTTTCTGAAAATCATTCAGGCCCAGTGCATAATTAGATCCTCATCCTCATCATTCCCATCAGTCATGTTTGCTATTGAACAATCCTTACCCTCTGGTAAACCAACATAACTATGGAACATCACCATTTTTAATGGGAAAATCCACTATAAATGGCCATTTTCAATGGCTATGTTAGTTTACCAGAGGGTAAATTTCTGGTGATCACCTTGACATACTTTGATCATCTTTGACCCATACATCCCACACATCCTATAATGTGGTTCTAACAATGTCATAAACCACCCATTATATGTTGATGGTTTATACAACCCATCAACATGGTGAATTTCAGGGAATAATATAAAATTATATTTTATTGTTACCGCAGTACATACCATAACATCTCACATGTCCCATCACTTCGTTAACCCATCCCCAATCTTCCCCATCTCTCTGAGTCTCTTTGAGGTCCAACAGCTCTGTGGAGTCCAAGTGGTTCGAACCATCGAAGCCGCCCACCACCAGCAGCTGCTCCGCGCTCAAGGGCGCAGCCGTGCAGCCGGAACGCCAGGCGCTCATGCCAGGGCCAGGGCTGAAGCTTAACTTCGACCTGGAGATGAAAAAATGATGAAAAAAATGATGGAAACCTGCAAATGAACACTGAAATACCTTGAAAATGGATGAACATCGTCCATTTTCAGTGGGAAAACCCAACCCATTGAAAACCTCCGGCAAATTAACAATAATTCACATTTCGACCCTGAAAATCGTTCATATTGTGAGTGGGAAGTAATCCTCCCACCCCCTATTGACAGGGTCTGTGTGAATTAAGGGGAGTTGACGATTGTAGCTGCACAAAGATGGTGGGAGAATTGGGACTTGGTGATGCTGATTTCATGGCTATAAGGCTATAAGATATGTGAGGTATAAGTAAGAAAAAAGCGAAAAAACGAGTGGTAGAACTATATACTGTAATTTGTAATTGATATGATGAACCAAGAAAAATATGGTGGTTTCATCTGATTTAGCCCAGGAATCGTTAGCGAGCTCACCGTTCAGGGTGAGAAGTCCATCTAGTGGGGTGGTTCACCACCAAGTTTGGGCCCCCTGAAGGTGGGTATATGGTGGTTTGATTCGGTGGTTTCATCGACACAACACTTCGATACACTTGGTACTTGAGCCCAGCTTTGCATGCAACAAACATGTGACGATTGATGTGTTTTTTTTCCACCCGTTCTCTTGTTCCTTGCAGGTATGATTGGATTGATATGTCTGATATGTGCCCTGATGCATATTTATGATAGGAATGTGGCTGTAACCATTGAAGTCTATGATCGTTTTGGGCCCCGGATGAACATGCCTGGTTACTGGTTGACTTGGGGAGTTCGCCCCAAGAGATTTCCAGGAAAACATGTGACCACAACAAGGATAACCACGTGAGATATGAGCCAGTTTGATCCATTTTGTTTCACTTGACCAAAAGATGTGTCAGGTGCATTCCACCCGCCGCAGCTCCTTTTTGTGACGGAATTGCTGCCCAGAAACACATCCAGAACCTGCAAAACGCGCAAGGGAAAACCGGAAACGGCCACGAAAGATCAAAGTTGGAAGTGACTGGAGACAGGAGACCGACACATGACCCTGCCCCCTACAATTCCAGGATCGCCCTTAGTGTTTTTCCGGAGCACGAGGCCTCAATACCAAGACCCGCACACCCCAAACAAGTACTTGATACAGTTGATACGACATGACTTCAAACTTACAAAACCAATCCCAAAACCAATCCCAGCACCATGTTGAAGATAGTTGATATTTCTGATACCAAATACATTAAATTCCGTTGATTGTCTTTTAAAAAAACATAAGAACACATAGTAATGTCTTGAGTTCCTGTGATCAGTTAGATATAATTGATTTCTGATGATCGTTTCATATCGGTTCGTCCTCATCGGTGATGTACGGATGCATCCACAAATTTACTATTGAAATGCGGAAAACCACATAATCAGAGACATAAAATTACATAAAAAGGTGCGTTTTAGATCATTTTAGTGTGTTCCAAAATCTTTCCAACTTTGGTCATCGTTCACAACCCAGAACTTTCTCCCCAAGCGGCCTCGGTGCTGTCCAGGCTGTTGGAACCATCAGATCCTCCAAGCACCAGAAGGGTTCCTCCGGTGCTGGCAGCCATCTGGATCATCTTGCACAATTGGATAGAGTGACATGATGAAAATTAGATGATTGATTACATCAACCCACAGAAAAGTGGAAAAATTGGTCATTGAAAACTGACATACTCCACAATCTCAATGGTTTATCATGAGTTTGCCCATTAAAAATGCCATTCAATTGGAGGCCAATCCATCCCTTGTCGGAGAAAACCATGGCCGGTCCTTTGCCCCCTGCAGATTGCAAGAGAGCTGTGGCGCAGAAATTTCGGCGCGTCGACATCCGTGGGCCAGCCGAGAACACCATGGTGTTCCTGCAGCTCCAGTCAGATTCTCAGTTATTTTTCTGCTGAATCCCAAGTTTCACCCAGGTTTGCTGATCAAATCCCTACCCTCTGGCAATTTCACACTTTGCTATGGAAAATCACAATTTTAATAACATTTCATAACTATAGATATATAATCGAACTAAAGGGGCCATGGTTCCGATTAAATTACGGAAGGGTGTATCGCCATTCTATTCCATTAGATCAACATTGTTGTTGGCCAAAACCCCTTATATTAGATCCATGAAATCACCATAATTTGCTAGACATATGCAATTAAATTGTATTAAAATAAATTAACATACATTAAAATTCCATCCAAATTCCACCATATCAAATCAAAATCCTCTTAAATTCCACGAATTTCCAGCCATTTCAATTCCACCTATAGATCCCCAATTCCCTTGGAATTTCACCAGCGCATTCTCCATGCTCTTCCCGAGTCGCGCCCAGTGACAAGTCCAGGAGCTCGGTGGTGTCCAGGTCACTACAGCCATCGGAGCCACCGATGACCAACAAGCGATGGCTATCGATGAGAGAAGCCTGGGCTGCAGCAGCTCAACGTAGACCAGTCGTTGCTTTAAAAAAAAGGCACACCAGATATTTTTTTGATGGTTCTGAACCTATTTCTGAGACTATGATATAGTTTTGATTTTTTTTCTGAGACTATGATATTTTTTGAGACTATTTCTGCGACTATGATATCTTTTTGAGACTATTCCAGAGACTATGATATTTTTTAAGACTGTGTCTGAGACTAATATTTTTTGAAACTATTTCTGAGACTATGATATTTGTTCAGGCTATTTCTGAGACTAAAATATTTTTTGGGACTATTTCTGAGACTATGATATCTTTTTAAGACTATTTCAGAGACTATGATATCTTTTTGATACTATTCCAGAGACTAATATTTTTTGAGACTATGTCTGAGACTATGATATCTTTTTGAGACTATGTCTGAGACTATGGTATTTTTTGAGACTATGTCTGAGACTATGATATCTTTTTGAGACTATGTCTGAGACTATGATATTTGTTGAGGCTATTTCTGAGACTAAGATATTTTTTGGGACTATTTCTGAGACTATGATATTTTTTGAGACGATTTCTGCGACTATGATATCTTTTTGAGACTATGTCTGAGACTATGATATTTTTTTGAGACTATGTCTGAGACATTTTTTTTTAAAGACTATGTCTGAGGCTGTGATATTTTTTGAGACTATTATTTCAGAGACTAATATTTTTTGAGACTATGTCTGAGACTATGATATGTTTCGAGACTATGTCTGAGACTATGATTTTTTTGAGACTATTTCTGAGACTATGATATCTTTTTGAGACTATGTCTGAGACTAATATTTTTTGAGACTATGTCTGAGACTATGATATTTTTTGAGACTATTTCTGAGACTATGATATCTGTTTGAGACTACTTCAGAGGCTAATATTTTTTGAGACTATTTCTGAGACTATGATATTTTTTGAGACTATGTCTAGGACAATGATTTTTTTTGAGACTATTTCTGAGACTATGATATTTTTTTGAGACTATGTCTGAGACTAATATTTTTTGAGACTATTTCTGAGAATATGATATTTTTTGAGACTATTTCTGAGACTATGATATCTTTTTGAGACTATGTCTGAGACTAATATTTTTTGAGACTATGTCTGAGACTATGATATTTTTTGAGACTATGTCTGAGACTATGGTATTTTTTGAGACTATGTCTGAGACTATGATATCTTTTTGAGACTATGTCTGAGACTAATATTTTTTGAGACTATGTCTGAGACTATGATTTTTTTTGAGACTATTTCTGAGACTATCATATCTTTTTGAGACTATGTCTGAGACTATGATATTTTTTGAGACTATGTCTGAGACTATGATATTTTTTGAGACTATTTCTGAGACTAAGATATTTTTTGGGACTATTTCTGAGACTATGATATTTTTTGAGACGATTTCTGCGACTATGATATCTTTTTGAGACTATGTCTGAGACTATGATATTTTTTTGAGACTATTTCTGAGAGTAATATTTTTTGAGACTATGTCTGAGACTAATATTTTTTTGGGACTATTTCTGAGACTATGATATTTATTCAGACTATGTCTGAGACTATGATATTTTTAGGGGACTATTTCTGAGACTATGATATTTTTTGAAACTATGATTTTTTTTGAGACTATTTCAGAGACTATGATATCTTTTTGATACTATTCTAGAGACTAATATTTTTTGAGACTATGACTATGACATGTCTTGAGACTATGTCTGAGGCCATGGTATTTTTGAAACTATGATACTTTTTGGGACTATTTCTGAAACTATGATATTTTTTGGGGACTATTTCTGACACAATGACATTGTTTGAGACTATTTCTAAGACTATGATACGTATGTTTTGAGACTATTTCTGAGACTATGATATTTTTGAGGCTATTTCTGAGACTATGATATCTGTTGAGGCTATTTCTGAGACTAAGATATTTTTTGGGACTATTTCTGAGACAATGTTTTTTTGAGACTATTTCTGAGACTATGATATTCTTTGAGAGTATTTCTGAGAGTATGATATTTGTTGAGACTAGTTCTGAGACTACGATATTTTTTGGAACTATTTCTGAGACTATGAAATGTTTTGGAACTATCTCTGAGACTATATAGTTCTGAGACTATTAGTTATGAAACTTGTTCTGAGACTATGATATTTTTTGAGACTAGTTCTCCGATTTTGATAGTTCTTTTGAGACGATTTCTGAAGCGACTATAAAATATACTTGTTATGAGTCTATAGCTCTAACATCCTCAACTTACTTGACTTACTGGTGCTGTTACTGGTTCGTAGGAATGGGGCAATGACCCAATATATAAACCTTCCGAGCTTCAACAATCATCCCATGCCCCCATTTCTTTCTTACTAAGCACCAGTAAGTTCAGAATTGCGTGCCCAAAACCCGGGATTCACTATCTAATTTGATGGGTTTGTTGGTGGATTTTCAGAAAGGTTCACCGGACGTCACCAACAACTGACGGTGATTTCATCGGATTTAATCATCAACCAGGGGGATTTGGTGGAATTGGAAAACCTTGATTTAGGTCGATCATTTTCCTATCATGAAATTACCATTTTCCATAGCCAACTGTTAAATCACCAAAGGGCATGTAGCAGTCCCAAAAGAGATAGGGCATTACTGAAATAGTGGCAATTTACTTGTCCATCTTTTTGTAGGGTTGGTGATGTGGGTATAGGGATACAATGGGGATACAAGATATAACGACCTAAAATGATGATTTTAATGCAGGATGATTACTGGGAATGTTATTGGAAATATCGGGGAATGGTTGCGATGATCATGGGGCAATGAATGCAACGGGGATCTAATCATCATAATATGCGGATTGATAGAATGGGGGATATACCCCATAATCATGTGGGATCATGATCATCCCAAGCCTTTGGGGGCCGTTTGGGGGCCTTACCTTCCTGGCCCAAGTCAGGCATTCCACCGAAAAAACTTGACCCCTCCGAAAACGCTTGGGTTTATGGAAAAGGCGTGTAAATCTCACCAACGATTGGTGGTTTAGATCCATTGATCACCATCGGATATATCTCAAATCATATGTCGACCATGGTCTAGCACTCTCAGATGACAGTCCACTATGATTCTTACATATTCTTACAATGATCTGGATGAATCATAATTCACCACCCCAAAAATTCGGCCATTTTGGGATCGTTCCCCATGTCCCATCAATCCATCAGTTCTAGTGAGAGGTGGCACAATACCATCCAGACACTCCACCTCAAGAATTCAGATTCGTTTGAACATAGGCTATAGATGGCTATGGGGCATCTGCAGTTGTTTCAATTCATGACCGACTTGCCAGGTACAGTTGTTGAGTTTTCTCATGTTGCTGCTTGGCCCAATCTCATAGAGGGCCCTCTTGTGATAGCCTGACGCTTGGCTATGGAGTGAAAAGGCATCGAGTTTGCCTTGCGTGTGCTTTGGTCAGAGAGGTGACCCAAACAATACATATCCAATTCATTAGAAGACATCCATCCTTTTTCGACGAGCAGTACGTTTTGCAACTCACTTGCATTTGGACTTTTGGGAATTGGTGCTCTGGAATCAGCTACCTGCATTGGTAGCGGAGCACGAGTTGCTCCTGGGCCTTAGCCCAATCTGCTCCTGGGTGCGCTCTGCGGTGGCTGATGTCTGTGAAGGACAAGCCGGATGCAACAATTCCCTCTTGGGATGGATCTTCGCGGACTTGGCGAAGGTATGTCAAGGAGATTGGTTGGTATGTTGGATCGACTAAGTCGTCTCAGCGGAAATATGCTGCCAGCAAACTGATTTCTCGCTTGACAGGATCTGCAAGGCTGTTAGCCATGTCTTGGTCGCAGCGTGAGTTTGATGGAGAAAGGGGAGTTTCCCTGTTGCTACAACGTTTAGCCTCATCACCTCTGGTTCGTAGAAGTTTACCGAACGCTGCTGCCATCATGTCCGAATACTTCAATTTCCGTCGTCGTCCTCAGGAACATATCGGAACTTTTCTGGTTCGTGAGACACTGGGATTTGAAGAGTTTCAAGAGGCACTTTTGCAACTGAAGGAGGAAAGGGACGGAGTAGACCCCTCAAGTCGCAATTTCGACTTGCCAGAGATTTCCAAAGATTCTGATGAAGAGGATCATGACTGGTACTGGCGTCAGCGTTGGGACTGGCGATGGAACTCCTGGCAGGGTCCTGATGGCCCTGATGACGATGAACAGGCCCCTGATGGATATCAACAGGTGCCACAACAGTCTGAGACAGGTTCAGATCATCCAGAAGCCGGTGAAGGACAGTCGAGACAGTCACCAGCTCGAGGTTCACCAGCTTCTCTAGCACGACCTTCAGTTCATGCTTCACCATCAAGGCGCTCTGAGGCGCATGCGAGAACAGTGGAACCTGTACCAGCTTTGAATGCCATGGACTCCTTCATCTTAGATGTTCTGAGAGGTTGGCGTTTGCTTGTTGCTGCATCCCTATCACCGGAAGAGTGGCGTGACGTTTTGGCCACCACAGGGAATAAGCTGGATTACCTTAGTGTTTCATCGGCTTTACAAACCTTGTGGGACGAACAATTGGGTGGCAATGGCAAGTGGCATTCAAATGTGAGTTCAGCATCCCTATCCTCTTTTTGGCATGAGGGTTCCTGGCCTTACGATGCATGGAGTGACAATCAAGCAATGTGGCATGATTGGAATGAATCAGAGGATTGGCCTTCCGAAGCTTGGGAGGCTGCTGCAGCAACTGGAGAGCAACCTGGTCCCTCTGACGAGAGGGTGGATGATGTGACCGATCCTACACTGATTGAGGCCTTGGAGGCCGAGAAACAGGCTGAGTCATTGGCCCTTGAAGCACGTCGCACTTGGTCGCAGGCCCAACAGGCCACACAGCAGTTGCGACGTGACCGCGGCTTTGGAAAATCTGGTAGTGGTTCATCATCCTCAAATCCAATTCGTTGTTATCTTTGCGGTGGTCCCCATCTTCAAAAAGATTGTCCTGACAAACATCACCCATCTTTTCGTAAGGGCTATGGTAAGAGTTTGTCTCAAGCTGAACTCGATGCATACTTAGCTGGAAAATCCAAAGGAAAGGGTTTCAAGGGCAAGTTCAAAGATGGCATGTTTGCATGGCATGATGATGGTTCATGGTATTCTGACTCATTCATGATCAACAAGGGCAAGGGAAAGAACCCCAAAGGCAAATACTTCAAACCATCAGCGAATGTTTATGGCATGGATTTCTACGCCTTGGAGATGATGGATGTTGAAGATTCACCACAAACCTTTCATGTTTTTCCCCTGGAACTGTTTTCAACTGATGAGTCCAACAACAAGAGATCAACACCACCGGGGTATGGCATGTTGGATTGTGGGGCGACAGCATCTGCGGGTCCGGAAGCATCAGCAAAACGTTTGATTTCCAAACTTCGACTATTTGATCCCGATTTGAAAGTTTGCTTCAACTACAACAAACGTCCTTATTTCAGGTATGGTTCTGGGAAATGGGGTCAAGCGCTTTACCATGCAGTTATTCATTCCAGTTGGGATTCATCACGATGTTTTGAGCTCTATGTTTTGGAGAACCCCATGGAGTACAACAGCGAATGGTTTTCTGATGACATGTTGGTACCTATTTTGGTTGGCATGGATCACCTCAAGAAGACTGGTTTGATTCTGGATTTTTCCGATGGTCATGCAGTCAACGGCAATGATAACCCAGCGGTCCCCTATGTCATGGAAAGAAACCTCAAGGGCCACTATATGGTGAACATTGCCTACTACCTCTTCGGCTCTCTCTCTGACTCCGAGGTTGGTGGCAACGAACCCTTTGCAGCTCAACTTCTGGAGCAGGACTGCCACTTAGCGCCATCGGAGGGGTGTGACTGGTTTGAACTAGCGATGGTATCAGGTGATGTTGAAGGTGATTTACATGTCAGTGAAATTCCATCAGCTAGTCGTCAAGCTCTCTTCGATTCTTTTGTGCAACGACGCTGTCAATCGAACAAGAATCCCAAACATGCAGCCGGTGATTTTCAAGTTTCCAAAGTATCTCCTGGTGACGCGGCTTCACATGTCACGCAAGCCTCCAGCACCTTTGGACCACTCCCGCGAGATTGTCGTGGACCCGAGGGACATCAGGTCTCAGACCACGTCATGGCCTTGTTTCGGCAAGCACGTGTCCTCCAATCCAAAATCCAACGGCTATGGCCAGTGGCGAACGTGCGAGATTTGTGGTGTCCGTCTGAGCTACGTGCCACGGGAGGGATACCAGGGCAAGTCAGCAGCTCAAGCTTGCCACAAGACGGTGGAGCTGGCGATGAAGCAGCTTCGCCAGGACTTGGAGCCATGTGGAAGGTTTCCCACCATGGACTTGGTCGAGACGATGATCCAGATCATCACCGACGAGAGCAAGATCGTGGCCACGGAGTCAACGCTCAAGCGTCTGAAGAGCCACGTGGACACCTTGAAGCAAACCTATGCAGATCAGATGAAGTCGGACACTCAAGCGCCAAAGGGATCCTCAACGAGCCCAACAGATGTCTGGCGTTTTCTGAGCGAGCAGGAGAAGTCCAAGCTGATGGAGATTGCGATGGAGCGCCACAAGGAGGAGGAGCTGATGAAATCAGACCCCGAACTGGAGTTGGTTCCAGCATCGGCGGGGAACAAGACGGAGTGAATGCTGAGAGTGCTGATCCAGTTTCTCAACAGCCTGTGATCGAAGATGCTACGAAGATGAGCAACTTCTCTTGGGCCTATGAGATTGACAATGAGCAGCTTTTTGAAGAGCCCTATGGCAATATGGACCAATGCGAAACTTCTCAGGCAATGGCAGCTGAGATTGAATTCATGATGAGTCCTGTCGAGAACACGACTCCAGAAAATCCCAAAATCAATGCAAAGAAAAATAGAAAATCTCCAAAACCAAACAAAAAGAAATCAGTGCATGTGGTGGAGGAATCTTTTGACCGTAATGGCAGTGTTCCAAGTTCCTCTACAAGTCCTTCTTCGTCAAACCCTTTGCCATGGAGAATTCTCAAGGCCACTTTGGCTTTTCTCGGCATGATGACTTTGGCGGCTCGGACTGGTCTTCGAGACTTTCTTCAAGGAGACCGGGTTGATGGTTGGGAGATGTTCTGTGCTCCTGACAGCTGGCTCACTGCAGCCTGCCGCACAGAAGGGTTGCGATTCAGCCGCATCAACTTGCAGCAGGGCTACGACTTGTACAAGACCAACACCTATGAGCTCTTGAAGGAGAAGTACAAGTCTGAAAAGCCCCGGCGTATATGGATTTCCAAAAGATGTACCTACTGGTGTCCTTTCACCTCGCTCAACTACAACACAGTTGAACGCCGACAGGTGCTTGAAGGGCGACGTCGTCAAGAACGTGCCATGTTCAAAAAGCTGATCCCCTTCATCCTGGACATCATCGAGGACGATCCTTCGGTTGAATTGTTCTGGGAATGGCCTCGAAGATGCTATGGCTGGCAAGAGCCCATGATACTTCATCTTCAAGATCGACTTCAAAAGCTTGGCAAGCCTTGGCATTTTGCACGAGTTGATGGCTGCCGATATGGACTTAGATCGGCAAGAGGTGGCTTCATGCAAAAAGCCTGGTCCATTGGCACAACATCATCTCACTTCTACCACCTCTACAGGTCAAAGACATGCCCTGGCTGTCATGAACACGATCGCATTCAGGGCTTGGAGACGCAGAAGAGCGCCTACTACCCCTGGAAACTTTGCAAGTCAATTGCTCAGACTTGGCGTCAAGAGCTCTACCCTGACAAATGGCTCACCTACTTGCAAGCTCCACTCCCCTCTTTTGTTGAACCTGAAGAGCAATTGCAAGCACTTGGACTGATGGATGGGGCCCTGGATTTTTGCCCGGCAATGGACTTATGCCCAGGGTTGGACTTTTACCCTGCAGAATCATCCTCGTCCAGTGAGCCATCAGGAAAAGAACTGAGCCTTTGGCGTGTCCACCTCATGAAGTACCATCGAGCTGCTGGTCATCCCAGCAACTACAACTTGTCTCGTATTCTTCGAGATGCTGGCCGAGCACCTTGGCAAGTTCGTGCTGCGATGGATCTACAATGTGATGAATGTGCAGCTCTGAAGTTGGGAGGGTCATCCAGTGGCAAGGTGCCACCTGCTTCCATGAGACCAATGCCAAGAGCCTGGGAATGCGTGGGGATGGACTGCACCGAATGGACTCCTTTGCAATCTCAGGTGAAGTACTACGTTTTGGTCATCATGGACCTTGCCACCAAGTTCAAGGTCACTCGCATTCTCATGCAATGTGGCCTCAATGAACAAAAGACTGAAACCACTGACCAGATCTTGGATGCCTTCTCACAACTTTGGCTTCAGGACAAACCCAAGCCGATGTTTTTGATTCCTGACAATGCCATGTCTATGACTTCACGAAAGATGCGAGAGGCCTTGTCAGATTTCAACATCACTTTGGATCCACCAGCACCAAAAGAATCTTGGGCACATGGACTTTTAGAACGTGCCAACCAAGAGATCAAGGAGGTAGCCTCTAAGGTCAAGCTCAACAACCCAGATCTTCAACCTTCGACTTGCCTTGCCTTAGCAACTCATGCTTTGAACTCCACGGCGTATGTCCAGGGCTATACACCTTTCCAGTGGGTCTATGGTTCTCAGCCAACTTTGACTGATGAGGACATCGTCAGCCTGAGCTATGCTCCAAGCGATCCACCTGGTTTGGACTATGCCGCGCTTCTCAAGAAGCGCAGAGAAGCTGAAGAAGTGGCCAGAAAGGTCAGAGCCCTTAGGACCTTGAACAAGTTGCACAACTCCAAGGTACGGCAACCTCTACAAGTTTTTCAGCCCATGGATTTGGTGAAGATCTGGCGGAAGCTTTCTCAACAAACTGGACCTCGTGGTGGCACCAAGAAGGGCATTCGACCACAGTGGATGGGCCCTGGCCGTGTGGTTTTTCATGAGACCATTAATGGCCAACGACCAGAAGATCCACGGCGTCACATCGTCTGGGTGGTGGTTGGTGGCACTATGCATCGTTGCTCAGTTCACAGTGTTCGCAAAGTCACTGCTCAGGAGCGTTTGGACTTTGAGCTCCACTCAGGTGAAAACCCAGCGGCATGGAAGAGCCTGGCAAGTTTTATACCACAAAGATCTTTTGTCGATGTTGTTCCTGAAGAACCCCAAGAAGAAGATGAAGATCTTCCTCAACTTCCTGATGAGCCCAATCAATTGCCAAGACTCTCCAAGCCTGCCTATCGACACACCTTCAAGCATGCGCCCAAGAAGGTGACCTTTGCTGAGCCTTCACAACCTCCTGAACCTGTGAATGCATATGATCCTTCTTTTGCTGCGAACCCTGATGAGGACGATGAAGCCATCGGCAATGCTGGCATTGGCAGTGGTATCCCAACCTTGGAAGCAAGATCTGGTTCATCCAAGGCCAAACTTTTGGACTCCACTGATGGCCAAATCTCTGAACCTGAGACAAAGCGTCCACGTACGGATGATGACGATGCTCTACTTCTCTCCTATCTGGAGCAGGTTGACGAGCTCTACGTCCTTGAATTTGACATGGTCTTAGAGAATGACCGCCAGAAGCGCAAGTTGGTGTACAACCCAAGTTTGTTTTTGGCTCAGAAGATGCGAGATTGCGAAGTGCGACTGGAGAAGCTTTCACCAGCCCACAGGGAACTCTTTCGCAGAGCCAAACTGAAAGAGGTCAATAGCTTCCTGGCGAACGAGGCAGTTCGTCGTTGTGCTGATCATGCCGAAGAGCAACAAGCGCGATCTAGCAGCAGATTGATGCGATGTCGATGGGTCCTCACTTGGAAACCCACTCCGGAAGAGTCCATGACCGAAGCTCTAGAAGAACTTCAGAAAAAGGGTGATGAGACCACTCTGACATCAGATGGCCGCAAGAAAGCCAAGGCGCGCATTGTGCTTCTTGGTTTTGAACATCCTGATCTCCTTTCAGAGGGCTACAAGACTTCAAGTCCTGTGCAAGCTGTTTTGACTCGCAACCTGAGTTATCAAATGGTGTTGCAAGAAGGCTGGGAGATTGAAGGCCTCGACTTGTCAACCGCCTTCTTACAAACCTTGCCTACGGAAGAGAGCAAACAGCTTTGGACAACAGGTGTTCAAGAACTTCGACAAGCCCTTGACCTTCCTGAGAATGGCGTGATGCGAATCCTCAAAGACTTCTATGGTTCAACTACAGCCCCGCGCAACCTTTGGCAGAACATTGATGTTTCTTTGAAATCACTGGGTGCTCACCGCATTGCTGGTGATCCTTGCTTTTGGTTGTGGCGCGTTCCTGCAGATCCCAAAACTCTTCCTCCTCATGATCCCAAAGATGCTGAATCCTTCAAATGGAAGACCCTTGGATTTATGGCGGGTCATGTGGATGATTTTCATAGAGCTGGAGATTTGCAAGATGAGAGATGGCTGAAGATTCGCTCCTCCATTGACACGATGTACAAGTGGGGGCAACTCAAAAAGAATGAGTACCGACATGCTGGCACGGATCTTTCAATGACCACGGATCCGAACTATGGTCGCTGTCTGGTAGTGGATCAATCATACTACATTGAGATGCTTGAGGATGTGCAGATCGATCCTCAACGTTTTTCTATGACATCCTCACCTTTGACGGCGAAGGAGATCTCAGCTTGTCGTGCTTCGATTGGTGCCTTGCAGTGGGTCGCTGTGCAGACGCAACCATTACCATGTGCTCGCTGCAACCTTTTGCTTTCCGAGCTCTCCCAGCAGCCTACGATGCAGCTAGCTCAAGAACTGCAGGAGCTGATCAGGGAACTCAGAAAATCCAGCACCGTTTTGAAATTTTTCCGTTTGCCCAAAGTACATCATTGGACTCAAGTGTACATTGTAGGCTTAGGAGATCAAGCCCACCAAAACAGACCCAAAGGGGGTAGCACAGGTGGACTTTTGATTTTTCTTAGCAACAGGGATTTGTCAATTGGCCGACCAGCACCAATGATTCTTGTGACGTGGAAAACTTGGAAGCTGAAACATGTCAGCATCGGCACGAATGATGCCGAAGTGCAGTCCCTTGTAGAGACCGAAGATGTTCTTTTTAGGACTAGGATGTTGTGGGCCTCCATTAATTCAGCCGGTACAGTTGGCACTGGCACCCGAGCTGACATGCTTGACGCATCTGAAGCTGAAGTTTGTTTGGTGCCAGGCCTCTTAGGAACTGACAGCAAGGGAGGATACGACAGTATCATGGTGAACGAAAGTCCCATGCTAGGCCTTTCCAACACTAGAGCAGCCATTCAAGCTTTTCAACTCAAGGAGTTTTTACCACGTTGTTTGACCAAACTGCTGTGGCTGGCCAGTGATTGGAACCTTGCTGACTGCATGACAAAGAAGAAGGCAGAATGTAGAAAGTCTATGGAATACTTTTTCCAACGACGAGTCTGGATGCTGAAATTCGATCCAAATTTTGTCCAGTCCTCCAGAAAGGAGAATGCCAGCAAAGGCACTCCAATTCAGCAAATGCAGGGGCTCCATGAGAAGAACTCACAAGAATTTTGTGGTAATGCAGTTGTTTCAATTCATGACCGACTTGCCAGGTACAGTTGTTGAGTTTTCTCATGTTGCTGCTTGGCCCAATCTCATAGAGGGCCCTCTTGTGATAGCCTGACGCTTGGCTATGGAGTGAAAAGGCATCGAGTTTGCCTTGCGTGTGCTTTGGTCAGAGAGGTGACCCAAACAATACATATCCAATTCATTAGAAGACATCCATCCTTTTTCGACGAGCAGTACGTTTTGCAACTCACTTGCATTTGGACTTTTGGGAATTGGTGCTCTGGAATCAGCTACCTGCAGCATCCCCAAATCCATCCAATTCCAATAATTCGACTGGCTGATCATGGGTTATATTCATTTCCCTATCAAAATATACCAAAATCGCTTATTTTTCACCCAAACTGTTCACCTCCCTGTGACAACCATGGGATGCCGCTGGGCGGCAGCGCAAGCATTGCGCCTGGTGCCCATCTTTGGGCCAACGGAGAAAACCATCCTGCGGCAGTTTTCAGAGCTGTTGTCCGTCTTGGGCTGAATTATCACAATTCACCAGCCTGAAACAAACTTATTTTGGGATGACGCCACCTACGAACCATAATCTATAGATATCTATAGTGACGTGGCGGTGACGTCGACGTTGTTCCAATATGTTACTGTTAGCTTCACCAAGGCTTCGGAAGAGATCAATGTTTCCTGTTGAACTTCATAGGGAAACTAAGTGGCGCAGTTTTTTCTTGCAAACAAATTGTGGTAAGTGAGGGGCTGATGTGGGGGTATGCACTACTGGATGTGTTCCGGGTGGCTTTCTTAGAACCTTAAAAATTAAAGTTTGCCACTTAGAGGCTTACTAGGCTTTGATACCTTGCAGGCTTGAGCTTGATGCCAATCATTTGCATTTCTCCATCAACATGGCTAAATATGTCCCATGACGACAAACTCCCAGTGACATGAACACCTGGACAATGCATTACCGTGATCGAATCTAATCAGAACTTACCATAAGTTACTCAAAATATAACCATATACAACCATAATTCTGATCATACAGTGATGGTCATGTGTGTCATTGAACTCAAAAAACACCCTAGCATCATGAGTTACTTCTTAATCTCAATCTATAAGTTTAGAATAGTTTAGAGTGATAGCACTATAGCTAATACTCTTCAAATTATTGTTTTTTTCAAAACATGCATATGTGGATATATATATTTTTTTTTTGAAAAGTGTATATGTGGATATATAATGATATATATATATATATATATAGCAAATATATTTATCTATAGTCATCTATATTTATTTCATGAACTCCATCTTTTCCCCCGTTGAAAAAGACGGTCCTCTCCAGGTCCAGGAGCTCCGTGGAGTCCAACTCGCTGGAATCATCCGAGCCGCCGATGATCAGGAGTCGCTTGGCATCTAAACGTACTGCAGCACAGGCATTTCCTGAAAGATCGGGAAAACCCATATGATCCATGAATATTATGGAATATGTGAATCATTACCTACATTTAGGTTGGAATATGGATTATTATGGAATATTTACCTACATTCACGCATTTCCTGAAAGAAAACGGTGACAAAATGGTATGTAAGATGGGTAAGATTGTTGGTAAATATGGATAATATGGGAAAGATAACTGTTACCCATATATGATCCATGTATGGAATATTTACCTATATTTAATTTAGGGGTGATTTTTTTAGGGTAAATGTTGGTAAATATACCATAATTGCAAATTTACTGTTAGTATCTGTTAGTATCTGTTCGTGTTTTTTTTAGCTATCTAAATCCGGACGAATTTTGAAGGAGGGATTCAACATGATTCAACCAGCTTTGTAACAAAATTATGACAGGGATTTCCTCAGGGCATCTCAGGGCTTAACCACTAACAATCAGATGATGGGAGAATCTGCCAGAAAACTTCTGGATGGGGATCCCACCTGCCCGTGTAGATCTTTCAGAAAACCACAATTCTGCGCGCCAAAACACATCACCCATCACCATCGTTCATCATCCAGTCATCAAGTCGAACCAATAAGAACAAAGGATTTTTTCATCGTTCATCACCCTCAATCATCCTTCATAACGGTGGGGAAACTCTGAAAATAGCTCCAGCTGCTCCAGCGCTGCTCCAGCTGCAGCTCCCACGACTCTCTCCCACCTTTCGATCCAAGCGTCGCCGTGTGCCCATCCGTGGCCCTGCAATGACCTTCAACGTCACGGGATCCACTAGCTCCGTACTATCCAAACTCCTGGCGTTTTCAACGATCCGCAACAAAAACTGAAAAACAGCAATCAGAAAATCTGAATCCGAAACCGAATAATTACCAAACAACATATCAACATTTATGTATAAATCATTATAAATCAACATCACTTGTTGGGAAAAATGATGAAAGATACATCCAACACCCGAGTTTTTGCAGATCTCATGGCTGCACCCAGTTTTCTCCAGGCATCTCCTGCAGCCATCGAATCCTCCTGCCACCAGCACCCGTCGTTCATCCAGCGCCGCCACTGCACAGCCGGAGCGGCCGACTGCCATGGTGGGACCCGAGGAGAAGGTCATGCTGCCGGCGTCCAGGATCCTGGTGAAAATCCCATAAAATGCCACACATATAGTGGTTCAAAATGGTTTAAACATATGTAAACCATCAAAATCCATCAAAAATGTCAAAAATACATGAAAAATACGGGTTTAACAGTTTTAACATGGTTTGACCATGAAAAATGGTTGGTCTCACCATGCCATAAACGATCCCGTAACTATTTGTCTCAAGATTTTGAATGGGAAAACATGTTCTACATCTCTGCGGCTTTAATTTCAAGCAAAGCCGGCATAGATTGCTGGAGTGCAAAAGAGCGGAAGCTGAACATAGTCAACAAAACAATCTGCGAAACCTGAGTCACATGTGTTTTCAGGTTCTTCGGATACATTGGGATACGACACTTTCAATGTCCTTCAAGCATCTGAAAGCTGGATCATCTTGTACCCTAAAGGGGTAACCACGGATACCACAGTAACCATTTAAAGCGTTTCGAGGCGCAGCATTCACCTGGTAAGGCTAACCGCCCACGAAAACTATCGAAAACTGCCATGACTTCCTGGCTTCCCAAAAACATAGCTACAGTCTTGATTCTAGATGATTCTTAAGAACAATTCTTGGATAATGTGGGTAAAACAATGTCATAAACCACCCATGACTATGAATGGTAAAGATACCACCTATTTCTCCTGATATTTGATATTTGATGATATTTGGATGAAGTTGATGATGTTTCTGGTCTCTTAGACTCTTGGAGAGGGGAAAAAACACCACGGCTTTCCCACCACGCCATGTGTTTTCTTCCCACCACGGGTGGATTGACACCGAGACACTCAGTGCTCAAATGATCCGCAGTTCCGTCAAAGCCTCCGAAGACAATGACGCGTCTCGAAGGCATCAGCATCGGGCTCCACGTTGGGGTACCTGGTACACCACGAGATCATGGAATGGCGATGCAGCTGAGTTATGTGGTTCAAACTATGACACGGACATCAATATGGGCTCTTCGTGTACATATACATGTCATCGACGACATCTAACTTTTACATGTGAACACTTGTGGAAAAAAAGGGGGATTTGTCTTTTTCATCCAATAATATATACAAATTATAAAGATGTATAAATATATTACATCACCTCTTCAAAACAAACAGTTTCATCCCATTTTATAGAAACAGTTAACTAGCCACAACGAAGCACAAATCGGATAAGCAGCTAAGAAACACCTTAAAAACGTCTAGTCACCATAGTCCGTCATAGGGTGAAAATATGAACTACAATAAACAATACATGTAGAAAACTACTGTCGTTGGATTGGTTCAAGGGAAAGTCTTAGCCAGAAACCATGGTCTTTACCATGAAAAAATGGGGGTTTCCGGTTTCAATTCTCCCGTAAACCAATCAAAAAAAAAACATCTGGAAATGACTAACAGTTTGCTATTGACAATTGCCATAGAAATAGTTGATTTACCCACTCAAAATGGTGATTTTACATAGTTATGTAAACGTTTACCAGAGGCTACATGTAGTACTGTGCAACAACATTTCATCCCCCGAGGCGCACCCGGAACCAAGCTCTGTGGGACCTTCTGAAGGACCGCCTCCACGGGCTTCGCTCGAGCTCCCTCCTCGGTAAGGTCTGAGGTGAATGGTTAAGCTGCCCCTCATTGGGAACCCAAATGACCATAATAACATCTACTAACATCTAATATCCAGTAAGATATAATGACATACGTATATTAATATATACTGTAATAAAATATTATCATATATATATAATATAAAATAACCTCTCTTTTGGACGCTTGACTTGCTTAACGCTCCGTTTTAATAGGGATTGAACATCTTCAAAAACAAGGGTCATGTGGGTTCCAGGCATGGGTTCCTACAAGACTACACCAGGAGCAGTGGCTTTCATGCCGGTCTGAGCCACCAAAGCATATTGACCCCCAGTTCAGGTGATGCCAACTGCCCCTAAACCTTTGTATAAACCATACAAGGCACCTAAAATCAACATAGCGTGTCAAAGTCATTCGACAAATCATTCGGCAAAAATCATTTTGGGAGTGTAAACACATGTCAAAGGAGCAGTTGCTTGCTTAAAGCAAAGAACATCAAAGAACTAGAGCCCTGAAACATAAACCTGCAACTGACAACTAGCCCTAGGGCTTTCAAAACTATGGCCTGATGGACTTTGTTTGGAAGCACCACTGGTTGCAAAAAGGGTTGAAGCTACCACTCAGGATCCATTCGCCCGGCTACTGCTTACGCCGCACCCACAAAAACATAATGGCACTATATGAATGCATAATCACGGACACAAAACACACATAAATATTTGATACACATGATTGGAACGTAATATATATATATAATTATATTATAATTATATGTATATGTATATGTATATGCATGCGGCATAAGGCATATATATATAATATATATATATATATATATGATTATATATGTATATTGTGTAGTATGTAGTATGTCCCTCTCCTGTTTCCCAGTTTCTCTGAGTTCCAGAAATTGCTGCCACGTTGCCGCGGAAACATTGGCGGTGGGCGCCACGGGCAGGGCGCGCTGCTTCTCGAGCTGGCGACGCTCCAGCTCCAACTGCTCGCGAGCACGACGCAGGTCCTGGGATGCCGGGGTGGTGCCTGGTGGGAATTTTGGGGCGTTATGGAATATATGCATAAATTCTATGATTACATATGTACATCACACATCATCACACCATGTCAGGATATATGTTGTCTATATTTGTCTATATATAAATATATATCATATGTAGCATGTTTTATGATGGTTAGTGAGGATATAATTATGGGGACTAATCATCGGCAAACGTAAGGATTTCGTCGAATTTTCCATGGATTTGAAGGACTGAAAAACCAGCACTGGGATTTAATTGGAATTGAAGCAACAAAAATGGGTCCTCCACTGCACCCTCTTGTAATTTAAGAGTTTGCTATGGAAAATGGTTTGTCTAGTCTATGATTTGCCTATTGTGTATTGTCATCGCTATCTTAATTTACCGTAGGGTATGTGATAAAACTATTGTAACAGTGTAGCGTGACATCATATCTACAGTACACGGTTCTGATGTTGCACACATCAATGCCAAATGGTTCTCATGGTAATGTACCTTGCTGGCTGGAAAATATTTTTTTTTTTCCGCGCACCTTTTTAGCTGCAGAGTTCAAGTCTCGCGTCCGAAGGAAGGGGCCGCGCTACGCAGGGAAGCCGAGGCGGCTGGGGCCCGCGAAGTCAGCCAGAGAGAGGATGGCCAAGGGGCAAGGGGGTGTGGCAGGCGTAGGGGGCGTGGAAGCCCATGGCACCGAGGTGGCGCTCATCGCCACGGCACGCTGCACCGCACAGGCGAGGAGCGCCCACCAGCGCCGCTGCCACCCAGAGCACATGGCCCGGCGCACTAGGGACGGCGTGCGGCGCGATCGGGCAGTCAGCAAGATGCGCATGAGGGAGAAGCAGTCGCGGCTCCATATAATTTCAGTATGTGTATGCAGATAAAATGTAAGCAATTCAAGGTCTACATTATGTATAAAGTGAATGCGAATCCAATGGTCTCTCTCCGTCTCTCTATCTCTCTCTGTATATATAACTACCCCTGCCTATGACTATGCTATCAATAGTCGTTGAATGACCCTTCACCCAGCTTTTCTGGATAAATAGATCTGGATAGACTGGATAGTTCCCCCGATCCTGACTATCATTCCGGAGGCATTCATCCCAAAATGTCCATCAAAATATGCCAAATCTCCGCACTGGTTATTGATCCCGCTCCAATTCCCATTGTAATTTACAGTAGTTCATGGTGAAATCGACATGGTTTTGCTGGTCCAACCCTCCATGGTTTTGCTGGTTCAACCCCTGCCACGACACTTCTTGCTCTCGTTGCAGCTGCTCTTGCTTCGCCTGCAACTCCGTCTCCGCCTTCTTTCGCTCGCTTTGAGCCTGCTCGACCAAGTGCTTCAGCATTTCAACTATTGAATGATTTGGTTTAAGGTACAATCGACAGGAAACCATTGATTTTTCCATGAAATATGGAAGTGTTCTGTAGATTTTCCCTCAAACCAAACCATTGAAATAAGAATGCGGTATACCCTCATGTATGGCCATAAAGTAAATAGAAATATGATGATCAACAATGGGCCTTGTATCTTCACACAAACCAATCTAAAAAATAACCGAACTTACTGGGCTTCCAACCGCCGGAAGATTGGAACATCTGGCTAGCTAACATGGCAAATGGAATATCTTCAGCAAAACTGATCAATGTATAGATGGAATAGAGATGTTTTTTTCTCAAGTTTCCGGTGGACAACAGGAAACAAAGCCAGTCAGAAAATCCGCGCGGATTTCCCATGATGACTAGCGAGTTGTGCAACCATGAATTAGTGGTTGGTGCTTGAGCCACAGCCAAGTGATCAGTTGGTATCCTGGGTGCCAATTTAGATGCAAAACACGGAGCACCATCCCAGAAACAAAGGTGTTTCTTCGTATCTAAAAACATGTTTCTCATGGTTAGCATTCTCAGTTTCTTAGCATATCAGTACTCAGTGCAATATTTCTGATTGTGATGTTCAACACTGTCAAAACCATGACCATCTTTGCCAATATTTGCCATACGTATCGCTGTGATTATCGTCATTATTGTTGATGTCGTCATTGTTTTCTTTACTGTGGATGTAGTTTTCATCATTGTTGAGTTTACGATGCAACAACCATCCTTTCCTGGCATGGTTACTCAACCCCTAAGGACACAAGACATGTTCCAGATCATCAACATGTGCTCATGTCATGTAAAAACTCAGAAGACTCAGGGTTCGACCCGGATATTGACAAGAACAACATACTAATATAGTTACTATGTACCACCTGATTATTTAACAGTTTGCCATGGAAAGATCCACCATTTTTAATAGGTAAACCATCTATAAATGGACCATTTTCCATGGCTATGTTAAATAACCGGAGGGTATATATATATATATGTGTGTGTAATACAATAACTGAAACACGATGTGAAGATGCGAAGCCCAAATTTGTTGACCAATTCCCAGGTGGGCTTATGGGGTTCAAATATCCTGTGGTTCTAGCATGTTGCCCTCTGCAGCCTCAAACCATGTTCATAATGATTATCCCCTATGATAATAAGTTAAGTATGATTATAGTTATATTAGTTGTAAAACATAATTATCATGATACATATATCATGATGATCCCTTAACACTTAAACTATAACCCCCTATCATCAAAGCTGGATGATGCTGGATGTTCCAGTCATATGGTAATTTCATACAATGTGGCCCCCCCAGTTATTTTTGTTGCTTTTTAAACCCCATGAATACTATAGTTATAAGTATAATAAGCCATAGTTGTCGGAGTTATGTGCCCCAACTTACTCCCATATAACTCCAATAACTCTATATATAGCTATGGGATGGGGGATAGCTCTTTAATGTCAACCCCGGATTAATAAACCATGGTTTATTAATTGGGCGGTATTCCCCCAATAGTTATGATTTGATACTGAAATGGTACCTTCCCAATTGAACAGCCTAGGGGTTTATTAATCCAGGGTTGACATTATATTATGGATTTTATCTGGTTTATGAACCAACTGGGGATGGGGACCCCTGGGGGCCCCAGCCCTTGTAGGCCTGGATCGACTCTTCGATCAGCGCGCGGCGTTCCGCCTTCACGGACTCGGCAGCAGAGAAGACCACGCCTATAGGGCGGTGCCGGTTCTGCGGCTGGATGAGAACAATATGGGAAGATCATGGGAACATATAGGGAAAAAATGGAAATACATATGGAAAATTATGGGAATATCGGAATATCTATAAAATGTATGAACATTGTCTAGAATGGATGGTCGAATGCGGGACTTTTTTCATGAGTTGGAGGATGTTTGCTGGGCAGTCTATGAAATAGCGGGATTTAGTGGATGGATTGGGGAAATCTATGCTCAGTCTTGCAAGAGAAATGCTGTTCAATGGATTGCATCCAGATTGTCCATGAAAGTGGTTGTTTTACATGTGGTTTTTCAATGGACCACAATCTGATCCCTTCTCATGAGGAAGCAAGGAAAAGATACTGTATCAAAAAACATATGTAGTTGCCATCATTTAGCGTCCACTCTCATACAAATATCTTAATATCACACAGCAGGAATCTATGGACACCCAGCAGAGGAGAGACTGTGCTTGCAAATGAATCAAAAAATTGGATGAATACAGGATGGTGCCCCCCCCAGTTACAAGTTGGTTTATAAACCCCATTAACATCTATTAACAATAGTTAGTTATATCATATCTACCATAAGCAATCCATAAGCCATAGTTATGAAGTTATTTATGATCATTTCAATTCAGCAAAAAGTTATCTGCAACGCCCTTTCTGAGGGGCCAGCATCTGACGTCACGGAAAATTTCCACACTCATGCCAGCAATCGATCTCAATGGCAATTCTTAATGGAATTCATGTAGAACAGAATGGTCCAAAGTCTTAATTTCATAAACCTGAGTAAATTATATTATTTGGGGGATTATTCCCCTTACTAACCATGATTCCAGTGAGGTCGTAGTGAGGTCCTTATAATTTACCGAGATAAATGTCATAAATGCCTACAGAAATGTCCACAGCCCACAGACTGCGAAGACCGAGCCACCCTCCAAACGATGAAATGCCTCCATTGCCTGGAATGGTGACTGCAACGTTGCAAGGATACATTGCCATCTTCCAAATTTCTGGATGCTAGTTAGTTTCAACAAATCCCCTAAAATGACAGAACATTGGTAATTAAATGTAGTTCATCATCATCATCATCATCATCATCATCGGTAGGGGCAGAAATTGCGATATATACTTAGAAACGCCAAGCAGGTTTGATTTTGCTGGTTCTATTTCTTTATCATGCTGGGGTAAGTTTCGGGAGAATTCGCGAACCTGAGAGACCCGTTAGTTAGAGTTCTGAATGCATCGCAAGGGCTGTGTGAACAACTTGAACCAAACTTCACTTGTACTTCGGATGAGCATTGAAGTCACCAAATTGTCCCCTCCACGCCTCTTCCACATGCTCTTTCAAGGCATTGAGGTGAACTTTGGCCGCTTTTCGAGCCTTGCTCAAGGTATCTTCCTCCTCCCCATTCACTCCACGAGCCTCCGCACGTTCCGCCCGCTGGATGGTTTTCATCCCCCGTTGCCCCGGGGCAACGGAGGTCACGGAGGTCACAGAGGTCATGGGCCCAACGGGGCCAACGGGGCCAACGGGGCCCGGAACGGGCCCGGGGCCCGGCAGAGACCCCGAGCTCACCGTCACTGCGCGGCCGTTGATCATAACACAGGGCACTGAGCCGAAAGGACGAGCATTCAGTGGAAGTAATGCGGGAAAGCCATGTGGGAAACCTATCATTTGGTGATGATGGTTGATTTATGTTGATTTGTATTTTTGTTCATTGGGTTTACCACATCAGTTGGAAATGGCTGGGAGATCATGGGCATCAGTGCAGGCATATATGTTTGCATTTTCTTGATGAGGCGCCCAACTTGATATTGACGGCCCTTGAAGTCTACAATGAAACCCAATATCCTCTCAGTCATCCCAACCTGGCCCGAAAAATGATATAATGTGGCAAACAAACCATCCCCAATATCACCATAAATGGATGGGATTGAAGCGGATTGTTTCTGGGTTTCCCACATTGAATCAATGAAATCTCAAATCTTGCCGGTCACCCTGGGCTAGTTCAATTTAGCTATGGAAAAGGACCATTTGTAGATAGATTAGATAGGCTGCCTAGCTTTACTGCACTTTTCCATACCCAACTGTTAGATTAGCAAAGATTAAACCCCAATCCTGGGCAAACAGTAAAAAACAAATCAAATCTTTTTCAAATCCAACTTGGATGAATGGATGGTTGAATCACTCTTGATACAATTAATAGATATAATTTGTCAACATATGCCCATGTTTGGCTTTTCAAACCGTCTCTGCCGAACTGGGCGCTTGCAAAGATCCAAGCCATGTCCGTCTTCTGCAAGGCCGTCCGTAGGATGGAGAGGTCCGGACTGGCCTAGGAAGATCGGGGGGCCTAGGAAGGGGGGCCCTAGGGAACTATTTACAGAAAACCCAGATGAAATGACCGCATGTACCACGGCAAGAAGGAAATATTCACAGAAAAACAAGACGAAATGACCATATTTACCTTCAATGATGAGGATTCAAGCTGCAAGAACTGCAAAGTAGCAAAGACTTAGCTGGTAGATGTGACTTCGATGGGCTGATTTGACTTTGTATTTGACGGGAAACCACTGAAATTTTAAACATACCTAGGGGTTCCTGTAGACGTTTCCTCCCCATGCTGGGGCCAGCACCTGAATGATCTGCAAGATGGTCTTGTCCGGATAAGCCCAGGTGGTAGGCAGCAAGACCGTATCCATTAGCCTGAGTCCCAGCCCCATGCGAAGATGAGAAGCGCGAGTAGTGGCCAAAGGTCGGCAAATACGGGGCATGATCAATCATGATCATCCTCCCCCAAATCATGGAACTCCCAAAGTAATGTCAAGATTAAATGATTTTCAGGTGAGTTTGGGGCCTGCAATGGGCCTGCAACATGAAACATCTTAGGATTCTTCGGAGTGTGAATCGACGAATGGATAGGCCTCAGCAAACATTTTCCAAGCAGCGCATCAAACATCACCATCAAACACGCTTAAAGGTGCACCCTCTGGTGAATTAACAGTTTGACCCCAAAAATAACAAATTTTTATTGGAAACTGGTCTTCCAACCATGTGCCAGGGTCTATTCAATAGGAATTTCAGGATCCCAAAATGTAGCTACTCTATGGTACCATTTCATAGGCCTGAAAAATAGGCCTTATGGTAGGTACCTCCAGTCTCCCATGGGTTCCTGCCGGGACGCTGAATCATGCCATTGGTGGCTGGTACATCTGCGCTGATCACCATTGCTTTTTCATTCACCAACATGGTGGGGACCTGGAGCGACATGTAGGAAGCCTATGGCCTATGGAAGCCGATCCCTGGCTGGACTGATACCATAGCTGTTGAAAATGGCCATAGAAATAGTTGATTTCACCATCAAAAATGGTGATTTTCCATAGTTTTGCAAATGTTTACCAGAGGGTAAGTTGATGTTTACATCCGAAAATATCATTGGCCATTGCAGGAACCTAAATTTGAGGTACCTACCATATATAAGGCCTATATAAGGCCTATATAAGGCCTATATAAGGCCTATATCCCAGCAAAATATGGCCTTATATGGTACAGTACCTCCATTTTAGGATCCTGAATTTCCCATTGAAAATATCAAAGTTCCCTAAAATGGGGTACCCCAAATCATTCGGGTCATGGATGACCCGAATTCGTTCATGTTGAAACGACCGTATGGTGACTTGGGGATCCTCCGTGACTTAAGACACCCCCCCATACCCTGACAATTTCTTGGAAGGGATGATCGACCCCACCAGCACAAAATCCACCGATATATCTATTTCATTCAGGTCCTATCTGATTATCTGTCCATCAAATACAAGATAGACATAAAAATACAATATGCACATCTCTCTCTCTGTATGTATAATCTAACATAATTCGAATATATAATCTATTGATAGATTGGAACAAGAAAAATGCCGGTAAACCTTGCTGCCAATAGTTGTTTCCCAAAGATGATATGTACTTCGGGCCCCCTTGCCCAGTATTTTCGCCATGACACTAGCGAGGTGACGGTGACCAAAGTGCCCTCCAAGCTCTTGAGAGTTTGACCGAAGGACAGCTCCTAAAAAGGCGATGGAGAGAGAACGATTTACCAGTGGAAACTGAGGCTTGAGAGGTTTGAGGCTTGAGAGAGATGTTAATATCAAAATTTCGAGTTTATTTGCAGGCAAAGGTGCACATACAAAGCTATAGAGTGTAAATTCAAGCTTTGTTTGAGTGGGGCGGAACACGTACAAACGCGGAGCTAAATACCATGGGGTCCGTGTGTTCAATGGTTTTGTTGCCTTTAGAAAAGCCTGTGAGATCTACAGCACGCCTTTGAGGTCAAACCTCAATATGGCTCTGACCTTTGTCAACATCATCAAAGGCTCATTATTAAGGTATGCTGGAACAAGGCATTATTGCGGAAGATGCATTTTTTTGACAATCATACGTGCCTCAAGACTCCAATTCAGGGATAGTTGAAAATCCGTGAGCATCTCCAAGGCAGGGTCTCCATGTGAACAAAATTGCCCATGAATGCACCCCATGAATCACTTTGTCTGAGACCCTGAACAATTTTGATCACGTTTAGTAGTAAAAGATCTGACTTTCGGACCCCTAAGAATCGACGATGCAATTACTCGACTGCATATCCCACATTTGTTGGCCAACTTCGAAGCTCAGCGGCGCTGCTCGGATAAACACCTGGGTCAAAATTGTCACAGGCCTTGCCCATCAGGGCTGGGAACTACTGAAGTTACTTGATTTTTTTTGGGGGTCTCCTGATCCTGGCCCATCCTATTTTTCCGGTGGAAAATTCCAGGGGCCGCCAATGATTGGACCGTTAAGATCCAGAAGGTTCCCATTTGCACAGTTCAGAAGGATTAGGGGCGTGTAGCTTTTGGCGATATAGGGATCATTGGTTTAAGATCCCGTGAAAATGATAGGCGATTGAAACCGCAGGCATCCACGAGGTATTAAGGCCTATTTCCATCTCTCATGGATAAACGATACAAAATGAGGGTGCACGTATTTTTTCTAAATATGAAATTCAGAGAACTACCCTCTGGTTATTTAACATAGCCATGGTATAGATGGCCCATTTATGGATGGTTTACCTATTAAAAATTATGATTTTCCATGGCTATGTTATTTTTGAAGCCTCCTGGAATCCCCTCCCCATTTCGCGGTCGCCTCGCACCGTGTGGTACTTCAGCAGTTGCAAGAGCCGGGCCTCGTTCGCCTTCAACTGCCTTGGCGAAGCCACAGCTCCAAACAATTCCAGGTGGTGGTTGGGGGGCACCTATGCGGTTCATATGCGGTTCATATTGAAACCGCAGATTGGCTTCTTGGCTATCTTGCTCCCTCAAAGTCTTTCCCTGATGTTTATAAAAAAAACACAAAGAATTCAAGATGCCAAGGTGGATCCCAGTGATTCCAAGTCCTTTCTTTGTGGGGATCCCACATGTGGCAGCACCTTCGCACCAGCTTCAGTAAATCCATGAACTAATGCAGTTTGACTGAGGCTCCCACTGTTGATACTATTCCTACCATAATTTTCCGGCTAACAAGCGCCCTCTGAACTATGGCGGAATCATGCGGAATCCCTTCTGCCAGTCCCTTGAGTGATGGTTGAAAGCAAACGGCAAATTTTCATCATCCTGCTGAAAGTCATCCCATGGCTTATCGCATCAAATGGATTCAAATGGCTATGCTACATTATGCTAGATGGGGTATAGCCGCTATGGTCGCCTATGGTGCCCAACAAGCATCAGCCACCAGCGGGGGTTGCCACATGTTGCCACTCCAGGTTGCAGGGAGGAAGCCACACCCAAGCCCATCTTGGTGAATGCCGTGTCAGTGGGTAGAAACACGGTCAGCGCCTGATCCCGCACCACCAACACAATCAAACTTTTACATGGACCTCAAGCACCACGCAAAGGCTGAGAAACAACGCTCCTAGTGTTAAACTATATTATATATATATATGTGTGTATTATGTGCATATATATATATATATACATATGCGAATGTATGTGTATATATATATATGTGTGTATGTATATATATTATACACGAATATCTTTGACCATTTTCAGAATGGACCTGTGCGTGTTTCTGTCAGGACAAATGGTGATTGTAGACTGCTCCATCGCCAAAGTTTCACATGGAGTTGCGCTGGTAAGCACCACACAGATCGAATTGCAAGGCTCCCAAAGCCATCTAAAGACCCTAAGATTACGTGAGATTAGAGTGATTAGAGGCAAAATGTGGCTTGAAGTATACACACATGGTGAAATCTTAAAAATACTCAAACAATATCAACATAGCTCTGCGCCCACAGATCAGTGCTCCCAACAAAACCGAGCGACAAATTCGCTGCGTTCATCCGAGTAGTCGCTTTCAAGGCCACTCAATGTGGCACCAACGGCGATGTTTGCAAGGTATGATGTGGATTGAGCTAACCTGGGGCCCGGGCGGCATCATTGCAAGGGAATTCTAGGGTGAAAAAGGATGAAAAAGGTATACAAAGTGAGATGATATTGCATGTAATATCATGTACAGTAATTATATGATTCACTCACAACGTCACCCACTACTAACACTACTCGCTCAAGTCACTTTTCAAGTATACACCAATTCTGAGGGTTATAAGCTTGTAGCTGAGAAGGTGGCAAAATGTGCCTCTCTCTAAGTGACATGGAACAGAACCCCCCAAAAAGAAAATGTATATTATTATGTTGAATTCTGCTTTAACCCCGAGAATAAACATATCTGCAAAAACAGGAGCTGAAAATCTATATGTATATGTACAGTAATTCAATTCATTCTTTTCAAAAGAAATGTCACCCCATCCCCCAAACATCACAGGTCACAGGTTTCTGTTGCTTTCCGATATCTGTGGTCGGCTACCTGTTGCCATCTCCCCTGGGCTCGAGGCGCTGGAAGATATTCTTCATGGGCGGTGGGAAGACGTAGGCTGCTGCCGTTGCCACCCGTGACACCACATGAACCCAGCCATTGGAGCAGGCAATATCCGCCTGTGACACCGAAGCCTGGCCGTTGAGTCCTGGGCCATGAAGCCACCCCCCCTTGATCCGCTGGTTTATCAGCATGGTTCCCGTGATAAATTGACAATTTTATGGTGCCACCATTTTCCGAACCATTTAGGGCGATGATATTGATGCACTTCCATGAAGGGAAGAATGAATCACTTGAAACATCACGTCAACGCTGGCACATGGAAAGACTCTCAATGACTTAAGCCTGCCCAACCCCCAAATCATGAGAGTTCCTACCCAAAAGCGCGACCGTCCTGAAGTGGCTGATCCATGAAAAAACATGTACAATGAATGAAATCCAAACCTAGAAATTACAAATTGTGGAACACTAGATTGGTAAATTCCTACATGGAACTCATCTTCCGACAGAAGCGCCTGTTCTCCTTTCTGTCAGCATCTGCAGCCACGGAACGGACCACTGGAGCGACGTCAGTGATTTCCACCGTCAGTGAGTTCCAAGTCATCAATGTGAGCCCAGGATGCATATCACTGGCGCGGTCGCAGGGGATATGGGAGGAGCCTGTATGGATCCATGATGCTCCATTGACCATAAACCATTGATCCGTCGTAACTGAGACGGATGGTTGGATGGATGTGTATAAATAACTTGTAAATATATGAACAAATGATTGGGAAGCCATCAGCTATTAGTCATGTACTTCAGCAATCTTCAGCAGAGCTGACGGGATCTGAGGGACCAGTCGTAAGAAGGGCACCTGCTGCGAAGTTCCGCATAGACAACGTGGTACCTCAGCTGAGGGATCAAAATGATGCCAACGTGTTTGACTTTCTAGCAATTTGCACATCTTGCACCACTGTGTGAAATTCATATCCATAATTCTTAAACATATACACACACATATATATATATATAAACAAATAAATAATTATGTATAAAACATAGGAAAATACAATATTATATATATAATATTATATATAAAGTATATATTTAGAATACATATATATATATAGTATATATATATAATTGTGCATATCTGCGCATTGTGTTGCCAGCAAACTTTCGCTGTGGCGCCTCAAGAGATCCAGATACTTCTGCTCATTCTGACCAGAGCCTGGCTGTGTAGCGGTGTAGCAAGGCTGAATTTTTGGAACACATGAGTTGTGTGTCTTGTTTCGGTGGCTGAAAAACCATGTTCAACCTCACCAACAGATTAAAAACTTGTGATTCATGTATATTGATGTAACATGCCAAACAGGGCTGGATGTCAAACATATTGATACATACTGATACCAATGCCGAAAAGATGCCGAAAAATGTTTCCAACTGTTCGATGTATTTGGAGGTTGCCCTGTTTGAAACCGAAGATTTTCACATTGGAAAGCTGCCCCACTCGCAGCCATTCAAGGCCATGTACTACCATCATCTTTGATTGAAAACAGTCTTACACCGAATGCCCCGCATCTATCTATCTATCTATCTATCTATCTATCTATCCATCTATCCATCTATCCATCTATCCATCTATCCATCTATCCATCTATCCATCTATCCACCTATCCACCTATCCATCTATCCATCTATCGATCTACCGATCTATCAATATATCTATAGAATGGATCTATCTATCCATCCATCTATCAATCTAATCTAATATAATCTAATCTATCTATCTTTCCATCCATCAATCCATCTATCGATCTATCAATATATCTATAGAATGGATCTATCGATAAATCATCCATCTATCTATCCATCTATCCTGTCTATCATATCTATCCTATCTATCCTATCCTATTCTGTCCTATCTATCCATCCATCCTATTCATCCATCAATCCATCTGTTCATCTATCCATTTATCCAGCTATCCATCTCTCCATCCATCCATCTATCCAACCATCCATCCATGTATCCATATATCCATCTATCCATCTATCGATCTATCGATCTAGCGTTCTATCAATAAATCAGTCATCTATCTATCCATCTATCCTGTCTATCATATCTATCCTATCTATCCTATCCTATGCTGTCCTATCGATCCATCCATCTATCCTATCCATCCTCTATCCATCTATCCATTTATCCATGTACCCATCAATACAGCTATCTATCTATCTATCTATCTATCTATGTATCTATGTATCTATCTATCTATCTATCTATCTATCTATCTATCTATCTATCTATCTATCTATCTGTCAATTTATTGCCATTGTATACATTGTATCCTGGCCATTTTGACAGTCCCAACATGCTTCGCCAGCTTCACCGCTGGGTTCAGGGTCCCATGATGTCCGGCGTTCCAACCGAGACACGCAAGGTGGCCAGCACACCTGGTCCCAAGAGCTCGATGGCCGTATTGCTCGGTGCAAAAACCTGTGACGTCATGAGCTCTTCAGCTGCGGAAAACACGGTGAACTGAAGCAGCAAATGATTTGGCCGAAACGTGATTTAACAAAGATTTAACACAATCTTTAGTATACGATCTTACTGTTCTTTCTGTTTCATTCTTTCTGAGGGTTGCTATAATGAAACGAAGCGTGTGTAAGACTTGTTTTGAACTCAATCAAGTCACTCAATAGAATTGGACAATTGAGTTCTCAATCAAGCTGCGCTCGATGCCCTTCGAGATCAGTAGCTGTTATCCAATGTTTTGAATCATCTTCTTCATTAAAATGGCCATTGAGGTTTCGCCCCTTTGACCATGACAGATCCATCAGCAGTATCCAATCCGAAACGACGTTGACAGCTGCGTCTAGGCAACAGTGAAGGGACCCCCACCTGGCTGTGGCTGACAAGGACAATCTGATGATCAACTGATTGAGCATAACACTCGTAGGCCATAGCCCAAGCATATGTTATGCTAAAAACAATATATATATATATATATAATTATTTAAATATATACATATATATAATATTATATACAACTGTTATTGTTCTGTTCTAGGTATTATTATCTTTAACAATTAGTGTTGCTAATATTTCATCATGTTTGCTAGATTTCGATCGGAATATGTGTAGTGATAATAGTTCAGTGGATGGATGAAACCCTCCTGTTTGGTTGATTGATTCAATACCCCATTGACTTTAATGGCATGATGTACATCTCGAGCCTGATATGTTGCGCCATCACATTGGCGTCTTCTTTGCCACCAATTTGTTAAATGCATTGAGGTGGTTTCAAAAAAACCTTAATGCCAAACATCCTCGTGACGTCGTCATTCCCAGGCATTTGCGGTGTGGCTTTGAGATGTGTGCATGACCTCTTGGCAAGTCATGTTGTTACTAAATGAAGTGTGTTCATTACGACTCAAGACTGTGGGATTTTTTCAGCGGCCTCGCCTAACTGAAACCGGACCAGGGCATAGAAAGCAGTTGTGATGCTGGATGCTGATACTTACTGGGCAACCAACACTGTTTATTTCTCTCCAGGGGTAGGAGATGTCTAAGATCCAAGGATATCCAAGGGCTCGTCCCAAATTTTGAACCTGGTCTCCACAGAAACTTTGAACCAAACTCAGTGTCAACATCCTTTCTACTGGCCGAAAGGAGAATGGACACATCTGAAGCCCAACTGATTCTTCATCGTCATTGATCTTCTCAAATGACCTGCCCTCCATTGATTATAAACATGTGGCAGAGAAATATTCTCTAAAAACTATGAAGCACAACAATAAAATGATACCTCGGACAAGAAGTACTGCAGTAATCTAGCATGCAAAATCATGCAACATATCCATTACGAAGGGCCAATCAGTTTCAACAAATGGTGGATTGTCCAGGCCAGATCTCCCCATGGCGCGTTCACCGTTCACGCTTCACCTTCCAGAGCTGTGAGCAGATCTGTCTCTTCCAGCGTTTCACGGAAGGAGGAGAGCTCCGGCAAGGCCTTGATGATGTCCTGCAGACGTGGGGGGAACCATTGGGAGAACCATGAAATATGAATGGACTCATGGTAGATATATAGTCAATGGCGTATGACTGGGATATATTGGGATATATAACAATAGGTCTTCCAACAAAAAAACGCCAAACAACTTGAATTTGACCCTAAGAATCACCCAACTCGCGCTAGGTCTATGTTAGAAGGATGGTATGGCAACCTTACGAGGGCAAATGGTGCTTGAAACCATGGGCTTTTGCGGGATGCCTTATTTTCAGACTAGCCAGTTCTTGGATGGCAGAAAAGGCAGAAAACCCTGTCTTGATTGAAATCTTACAGGAAACCCCGGAAACCCTAACATGCTGTTTCCATCTCTTTCCCATGACAGTTTCTGCTTGTTCAACTGTTCAACCATCGATTTTCTCAAATTCCGGGGATATGGCGATCAAAGGGACCCAAGTTTGGGGTGACCACAAACCTGTGACCACCTGAGAACTGATGGATCAGGATCGTTACAATATAACGCTATTCATCGTGCGAGTCTTGTCGGTGGTATATACAGTTCGTGTCTATACAGGTTTCCGTAAATAATGAAGTGTCACCCATGAGTGTCGCGGCGAGCTTGGTGTAGGTCACTCAAATGGTTTTGAAACAGAACAGCATAGGTATTTAGAATATATACAGTATAGGAAAGTTGACGAGTGTCATGTCCGGTTGCCCAAGTAGTCTTGCGATTGAAAACCATCAGCTCAAACTTGCACGATCAATAGTAACTCAATGGAGCCAAGGGGACAACTTACCGGAACCAATATATGTTCAAATGTTGTTGTTTGCCTGCCGCAACTCCTTGTCTTAAGGTCATTTAAACCCCATCATGTGTTTTGCCAGTCTGGAGTTGTCTTTTTTTGCGTTTTTCTCCCCAAGAGCAGCACCTAAAAAGACAGAAATGTAAAATCCACTAAACATTAAACATGTAAATTATTGTAAATTACAGTTCTGATCTATCTTTTGGGTGTGACTTTGAACATCTTTGCTCCCAATTCCCAATAGAAAAAACGAAAAAAGAAACGAACGTCAGTGCATCCAAAGAACGACCACAGCAGGAAGCTGCCCATGGACCGAGAATGCCAAGTTCAAGAAGAAACAGTACGGTGGGCGCATGGCACCATCACTGCCACCACGTTGTGGCAAGTTATGGCAAGTGATGATCTGATGGCGGATCTAACCCTAAAAAAACATCGTGGTCAGCTGCCATCAGTCCAAATAGGATCCAATAGTAATGGTTAAATAGGGTTGAAACCATCAGTGAAAACCCGACTGGAGTTACATGTAGGTAAGAAAATCGTTTGCCACGATGATCTTCGCAGAACTTGCCCACACTTTTTTTGGTAACATCAAATGCCGAGTGATCGAACCTGGCAAAGGAAAATCCTCGAGATGTAACGACTTTAATCTAAAGTTTTTCCCACAACCCAAGACCCAAAACTATAAGCTTTAGAGAGTCATATTTTCCCCTGCCAGGAGGGTTTGCTGAGGCCTCACATCATGATGTTACCAGCAACCTACCAAGTGCTCGTCCTTGGTGACTTAGGGCTGCGGGATCAACGTCCAGTCGACACTCGATGCTTCGTTAATTCTCATGCTACTTTGTTTAAAAATATTTCGCAGTTGTATGGTTTTATGGTGTCTTAAAGTGTCTTATGATGATTCATGGTTCACGCTTATACCGTTATAGTATGTTATGGTATGTTATAGTATGTTATAGAATGTTGTAGTCAGTGGCTTCATTGACATAGAACCAGCCACGTTGTAAAACCAACCCGGATGTTGCTCCACACTTACAATCGTCATGGTCATCATCATCATCATCATCATGATCATCATCATCATCATCATCACCATCATCTTAATCATCATATTCATCTTCATGAGGGGTCAAAATTCGCGACCCCCTCTGAGCAATATGCTGATTGGGGTAATAACACCAACTATATCTCCATGAGGGATCAAAATTCGACACCCGCTATGAGCAAGATGTTGATTGGGGTAAAAACATCTTTATCTTCATAAGGGATCACAATTCGCCACCCCCTATGAACAATATGTTGACTGTGGTAACAACATCAACTTTATCTACATAAGGGATCAAAATTCGCCACCCGCTATGAGCAATATTTTGATTGGGGTAATAACATCATCTTTATCTCCATAAGGGATCAAAATTCGCCACCCCCTTTGAACAATATGTTGATTGGCGTAATAACATAAACTTTATCTTCACAGCCACCTGGAGCTCCGCGTCTGGGTTGCAGCGAACATGTCTAAACGATCATTCTTTGTGAGGTTGTTTGGGAATGTTTGAGGTCAATATTATGTGCCCAAAGATATGACCAGTCCAGGGAATGTCACCGCTGGGGATGCAACAGTGCTGTCAGGCTTTGAACGAGAACCAACAAAACCATACAAAACCCTTGATAGCAGCCGCACACTTGAATTCCAACTAACCATAGGCATGAATGGACCACAAAAGTGATTGGGAAGGTGAACCGGAACCCGCTCCATCTGCAGAATATTAACGTCAAGTGAGGTCATCGTGGGCAAAAGACTCTCCAGAATCTGGATCGCTTGCCTCCTCATCAGCTGCCGACCTGGGAAAGGTTGGCTTGGACAGGTCAGGCTTGGGTAAAATCTGTGCACTGGGTGAGACAGCGCTCCATGACCCTACGAATATGGCGACATGGTGCAGCTAGACGCATGCTAGCAACTCCCGACAGTCTGTTTGGGCATCTATATTGAGTTTCTTGGTGACATTTGCACCCAAGATCTTGAAGAATTTTGTGTGTAAGCACTACCATTCTGATTGGAAATCTCGAGTGGGAGGGCATCATTCGGTATAAGTGACACAAGAAGAAGGCGAAAATTTCGAGGGCTGTAGAGCCCATGTTGATTCATCACCTTTCCCGCGATAAAAACAAAAACAAAACACCCAAGCACCCCAACGGGTTCCCATCAGCTGCACTGCCGTTGCTTCCGGCCGCCTTGCTGTCCTTGCTCTCAGCTGTTGCATTGGAAGCCTCCGTGGCCCCTTCTGTTTGTGCTGAACTGGGACCGTCTGCTTCGCTGGATGAGATCTTGGCAGCTTTGGGAGTGTCTTTCTTATCGTTCTGAAGATCTGAGGTCTTTGTGGATTTTGTGGCATCCTTTTGAGAAGTTCCCACGGTCTTGGTGGTTTCGCTGGTTTTGCCTTGTCTGGTTTGCTTCCTTGTTGTTGCTTCCTCCTCTGGAGCTTTTCCATTTGTAGTTTCATTGGAACTGTTGGGGTTGACTTGTCGGTTTGGTGATGTCGATGCCATATCCTTGTCTTCCGTTTGTTCCTCTGCACCCCCGGTCTCATTGAGAGTGCTTCTGTTGACTTGCCTGCTGCTTTGTGGTGTCCCATCTTTGTCTTCATCCCCAGGCTGCTTGACAGTTTTCGTGGTTCCCTCGGCAGGGGCTGGTGCAGGGGCTGGTGCTGCAGCGGGGGCTGGCACTGGAACAGCTGAAAACTTGGCAGCAGGATTCGAGTTCTCGGCCTGACGCGTAGGAACTGTAGGGGATTCAACCCCTCCAAAAAGGTGGCCAGGTGGCCACCCAAACAGATTGCGAATAAGATTTAATAAGCCTACAAACCCTTATCTGGTTGGTGGTTTCAATCCCTCTGAAAAATATGAGTTCGTCAGTTGGGATGATGATTCCCAATATATGGAAAAACAATCCAAATGATCCAAACCACCAACCAGTTATGGTTTGGTTTTTGGTGGTTACTAAACCTTACAATCCGTCTGAGATAAGGCGTTAGGCCAAATCAGGCTGGGTGGTTGGCTGGTTGATTCCCCATGACTGTTGGAATCCACGTGCAACATGCAACTGGTGCCATGCAACTGGTGTTGCAATGAACAGTACTGACAATGATGACACATGGACACCGTAAACATTATATTTTCATATTGATTAATATTGCACCTTGTGGCCCATCAACTATAGAGATACATCTATCATAAAAATCTTATAGTTAATGGGTGAGTCACTATATCTACCATAAACCATAGATATACTGAACTAAGCAACTAAGTGGGGATGGCGTTCACAGTATTTTACCATGATTCTTGTGCACCTGAGGGTGAAGCAGTATGGAAAGAATAAGTTTGGAGCGTCACAGTGGGGGCCATTTAAGGATGCGGCGTGTTTGAGACATGGCCATGCCTTTTAAACTGTTACCATCAAAAAAAATATAGTTTTGTGTTGATCTGGCTGAATGACTCTCACAGTCACTAACCTGCCTGACAAGCAAATACCATCACTGGCCAAACTAACTATTATAACATTTATGTGGCAATGACACTTAGTACATGAATACGTTTACAAATGCCTACAATATTATCATGAACATAAGATGTACTTCACGGTAAAATTACAATACATTTCTGCTACACATCGTCATCGGATATAAAACATGTATACGCATATTTATATATATATATCTCTCTCTCTCTCTCTTTCTCTCTCCATCCCCATCCCATGGATATGTACATCTACATATACCCTCTGGTAAACATTTACATAACTATGGAAAATCACCATTTTTACTAGGTAAATCCACTATTTCTATGGGCCATGTTCAATAGCAAACTGTTAGTCATTACCAGAGGGTATGCATAGCAATCACAATCTGGGACTTCCTGTGGCGCCGTGGCGCCTCCACAACCGCACCCACCGGGGCTGCCGGTGGTGCCGCGGCAGGTGGAGGGGCCAGCACCTGCACGGAAACACCATGGTTTAATTTGCCATGGGATGGGTCAAAACCTGACGTACCCCTGTAGTTCACATCAAAATAACCATGGTAAAAGTCTTGTTTTTTTTTTGGCTCTTGTATGCCACGTATGCCCGGAGGCCGCCGGAAGGCCCGGGTCCTGTCGCAAGCCACTGTGAACACTTGACTAGCATGTTTTGAGCTGGGCGCTCAAAGAAACAGCTCTTTGAAAGCTGACTCAGCGACAGTGACAGGGAAAAAGAATCAAGAACAAGTTGCATAGGACATTAAAGATCAATGATTTCATCATCATGTAGCGTACATGTTACTTCCCATGGGGCACTGCAGAATAGCCTGATATAGCGCAACGAATCCTTGAAATTCCTGCTGCGTTCAACCCTGCCTCCGCCGACAACAGGCTCTCCGGTGAGGTGCTGCTTACGACCGGCACTTGTACTGCAACCTGCCAGCGAACAGTGACATTGACATTGACCTACTGAGTTGAAGAAAAACATATGGAATCACTTTGTGTAACATGCACCAACGTGTAATTATGCGACTGTCCGTCTGTATGAACGTGTTATTCCCCACCTGCCAGGCGAGGGTTGTTAGATTTTATCAGAGCTGTTGTCCTCCTCCTCATCCTCCTCCTTCTCCTCCTCCTGCAGTTTCTCCTCGACCAAGTTTGCATCAACTTCCACCTCCACTTCCGCCTTGCCAACTCTTCGCCAAGCTCTTCGCCAACTTCCGAGCTCAGTGCGCACTGCTGGACCTCAACCTGGGACCTTCCCAGCTCAGTGCGCAGCGCTGGACCTCAACCTGGGACCTTCCCAGCTCAGTGCGCACCGCTGGACCTCAACCTGGGACCTTCCCAGCTCAGTGCGCACCGCTGGACCTCAACCTGGGACCTTCCCAGCTCAGTGCGCACCGCTGGACCTCAACGGCCAGATAGAATGCCAGAAGATATGCCAGATAAAGTGCCAGAATGTTTGCCAGATAGAATGTCAGAAGATTTGCCAGATAATATGCCAGAAGATATGACAGATAGTGCCAGGTGGCATGCCAGAAGATATGCCAAAACATATTGCAGAAGATATGCCAGGTAGAATGCCAGAAGATATGCCAGATAGAATGCCAGAAGATATGCCAGATAAAATGTCAGAAGGTATGTCAGATAGGATGCCAGAAGATTTACCAGTAACAAAACGTATAGATGTCATGGTGGGGATAACTCGAAGTAAAGTAATTAATGAATGTGGTTTTATGCATGCATGGATGTATGCATGGATGCGTGGATGTGGGTATAAATATGTATATTATATATATATGTATATGTATATGTGTAGATATATACTTATCTTTTCAGATGGATTTGTACAAAAGGTGGCTTCATATTTGGTGCTATCACCCATATCATCCAGTTCTTGCTTCAGTCTACACGCAGCGAATCACAGTCATTATCTGCCTAAATAACTTAGCTGCTTGGCCCAGGTATCCAGGACTCCCTAGCATCGTTCCCTTGGTTTAGAATTTTCACAGGAAGCCATTGATACCAATCCTGTATCTGCCTTGGGATTGCAACAGCGTACTTGCGGGTTCCAAGGACCAGTTCCACCATGGTATTGGCCTTGAATCCTTGAACATCCTGGAGAAAAAAACGCCCAACAGTTGGATTAACAGAATAATGTGCTACTACCGTTCATGCATAAAGCGGCCGCTTGTTATGCTTTTAAATGGCATATTTCACATCCTCCTTGGAATGAGGAATCTCAATTGAGCTTCGAATTTGGCTGAAACCAGCAAGGACATCGGTAACCGTTGTGTGTAATGCCAACCCTGAAAGTTAACAACGGTTTTATTTGAAGTATTAAAGGCACAAGTATAGCTAGAACTGGTCGACATGTGTGTATATATATAATAAGCATATAAATACAAATATTTATATATAAATATGAATTGTAATATCTATATCTATATATATATATTATATTGAAAAATAAACAAATATTTTTTTGAGTGTATATACATATATCGCATATATATGTGTGTAATTACATGTATACATACATATGTGAATATAATATGTACCTGTAACATAATGTAACATACCTTGACTGCACCCCCGTTGCCTGGGTCACTGCAGGCGCCGGCGCCGCAGGCGCCGCAGGCAACGCGGAAACCGCAGGCGCGGGTGCTGCGGGTGGTGCAGGTGCTGAAGCCTGCGATGATATGATGGATATATTCATTTATTTATCTATTTATATATGCATATTCATATCGCAAATTTACACTCAAAAATATATATGAAATATTATGAAATGAACTATACTAGTATGTTGCTCTAACGGGTTTCTTTTCTTTAGACCTTTTGTGTTGCCTTAACTTTGGGGTAGATGCTACCTGAGTTTTTGGGTGATACAAAAAAAAGTTAAGGTGACACAGGTAATATATAAGAAAAACTAAGGTTACACAAGTAAAAAGTTAAGATGACACATAGCGAGAAGTTGAGGTGACACAAAGGGATAAGTAGGCTCTAAAGAGACCCCAACAAATCGTGGTAGTGCTACACCCATATGTATATATGGTTGTTGATCAAAATTCCTTTTTCCCGGAACGGCCATTCTTCGCGAATAAAAATTTTACTTTCGCGAAACTTTCGCGAACTCCATGTTTATCTTTCGCGGGGCCCATGTTGGCCAACAACACCTCTTATAAAGATTCGTTCACCACCTGCCAAATTACGCCAGAGAATCACGGATCACTTCTTGATAGCCTTTTAAACATGCAGCTAGCATTATAATTACCAAACCTAGCTTAACCCCAGGATCCTCAAAATCCATTCTTTTACCATCAATATCTGTTCCTCATTTCCATTTAATTTCCATGCAAAATGTTGGTTCAGATTTCACACACTTGCAGGCAGAAGGACAAAAGTGATAAAATCTAACAACCCTCACCTGGCAGGTGGAGAACAAGACTCCACAGCCGTAGCCGTAGCCGTAGCCATTGGTGAATCTAGTTGTTGAAACTCGGTAGTACCAGGACCATCTCACATGATAACAGTATGATTCCAAGGCCCGTCCAACCTCAACTGGTAGGTCTGGTAATGGTAGGTGCTGGCTGGTATGTCCCCGCTGGTACGACCAGGAAGGGTTATTTTCCTGGGTGATCTAGGCTTGAAATGGGTTCCCCAAATGGCTTTGGAATGGATTTTGAACAGATCCTGGCTAAAGGGAGGAAAATAGAAAAAACATGGATATTTTCGAGGAAAAATCCATTTTTTTCCATTTTTCAAGGGTAGTCAATATCCATTTTATTTCCATTTTATTTCCATTCTCCAGGTTCAAGGCTGGTAAAAATCCATTTTTTCCATTCCCCATTTTCAAGGCTAGTAAAGCAATCTATGTTTTTCCAGTATTCCATTCTCCGCCTTCAAGGCTAGTCAGAATCCATTTCTTTTTCCTTCTTTCCATTCTCTGTTTTCAAGGCTAGTCAAAATCCTGCCGGCCCTTTATGTCCACCCTTTTCTCAATCCACTGTATTGTTCATGCCGTAGTGTATCAAGCTATCAATTGACAATACATACATGCATACATACATGCATGCATGCATACATACATACATAATGACTAACTCATGTATGATGGTGATCAGAAGTGAAAAAACCTCCAGTGCCAAAAGTCCTGTGAGCCAATCGCTGGCAAAATGGATATCAGGAAGGGAAACTCACAGCATTGCAAAATAAATGGATATCAGATATACAAAAAAAAACACATATAAAAACACATATGCTGGGAAGTAGGTTAAGCTAGTTTCGTAATCATAAAGCTAGCATCACGGAATCCCTTCTCAGGGCAGATTGTTGCTGACTAGGTTTTTTGGCAAGGTTTACTGGTCCACCCCCTTCAACATGCACTTTGACTTTCGCCCGCTCTTTCGCATAACTTTCGCGGAACTTTCGCGAAAATATCCCTATTCACAGACCCAGGCCATCAGCAGGGGGTGCATTGAAGGCAAACGAACACCAAGGGCCTTGGTGCTTGGCTCTCGCAAAGCCTCACTTTTGGAAACTTGGCTACTGCATTTGAATTTGGAGCTTGTTTCTTGAGACTTCAAAAAGCATCATTAGGTAGTGACAGCGGCAGGTGCAAGGATGTGCTTCAGGACCATGGCGTTTGGCTGTTGCGAAGTCTCGCCTTTGGAAGCTCGGCTGCTACCTATGAAGGGCGTGATTGTCCACAAGCACCACCATACTGGGAACTGAACCAGAACCAAACCGAAATTCTTAGTGCCCTTCTCCTGCCGGACCCCGGGCGGCAGTGGGTGGCAGCCCTTTACATAATGATTATGATATCCAACTTTCGCGAAACTTTCGCGAAACAAAATTTTACTTTCGCGAACTCGAAAAAAAACTTTCGCGAAGGTTTCCAACATAACATGCACGGCTTTCGCAATTAAAACTCCTTACAAGGACCTTTAGATCGATCACCATATATATATATATATGTTAAAAAGATACTCAAAGTGCATATGGATATAAGAAAAAGGACATGATACACATCAATGTTCAAGCATTTTCTGATGACTACCCCCCATGCGGCCCGTGCTGAAACTGAGCCCCAGGGCTCCCATTGGATCAACTTGTTGGTTTTGATCTATCTATTCGAAACATAGTTTTTTTCTCATTTCTCAAGCCTCCAAATTTCATGAAATGTGCCCGAATCTGTCCACCAGTATCATCAAATCTATTCAAATCGGATCATTCAATCAATCTGCCTCTGTCTATCGATCTATCTTTTTGATCTATCCATCCATCTGAATCTATCCATCTAATTATCTACTTCAGCAGTTTAGCTGCCGTGGCCAAGCCTTCGCATTCATCGCTTCCATGACCGCCTTGGGAGACAGCGCAGCGCTCGCGGCGCTGTTACCGGGACCAGTGCTGGTACCGGCACTGTGTGGGAGCACCTGGGAAACGTTGATCCGAAGGACAGCAAAGGCACAATGTTTATAAATCTTTGGGTTAGTTATAGGCATAGGTTTTTTGCTACTAAATTTTGAACTTCAGCCCAAGCGTTCTAAAATTCCGAATTTCACCATGACCCCCACACAAAATCGTGGAGGTATGACCAGAAGGACTCACCCAGCGGGCCATGCAATTGATGCGTTCCATTCTTTTCCCCCACATCAAAGTATGATTTATGAGCCTTGGCCGTTTGAGATGGCTGTTGAGCAAACAAGATCAGTGTCCCCTAAACGTGCCGGGTTCCATGGGGTGCGGTTCTTGCAATCAACCATGCAATTGTTTTTGAGTTGAGTAACGTCCCTCCAGTTTCACGTTTTTTTAGCCTTCAGCGTTGCCTGGGGCAATTGGCAAACTTTCAGCACCGTTGCGCTAGCTGCTGGCTGAAAGGTATGCAGGGCTATGTCTTAAACTTACAGTCCTCAACCCACCAACGCTGTTTTTGGATACACTTAAGTGGGATCAAATGGGTATTGGTCAAATAGATGGTGCAGAAACAAAACAACAACCATCAAAAGCGGGTCCAATTTATGGTGCCCGAATTTTGAGACCCAAATCTTGGCATAAATGGTCCTTCGCAACCGGAACTGAAACTAGCAGCATGGACCAAGACCCTGGTGCCCTTTGTGATGTGATGATTCATGTATGTGTGTGTGTGTGTGCACATGTGCGTGTGAATATGTGTACTATAAACATATGCCCATGAATGTATATATATATACATAAATACATACATACATAAATACATACATACATACATACATACCTACATACATACATACATACATTAATACATACATACATACATACATACATTACATTACATTACATTACATTACATTACATACATACATACATACATTACACATATATAAACAAATATGTATGTATATGCTACCGGCTGGGAAACCATACGTGAGTTTTTGCTGGTTCGGAATGGGTGGGGTGGGGTGGGACGAGATCGTCTCCAGCGTTTGGGGTGGGGTGGGGTGGGGCAATAACGTTCAACCTGATGCTACGTTGTAAAATCTTCTTTATCCTTCTTTCTTGCGTGTCTATGTCCAACCGCAGATGATTTCTTAAAAAAATCCGACTGTTTCTTTCTTTTCCTATGGAACAATGAAAAATCTTTAAAACTTTACATCCTGCAGAAGCATGATTTGGAACATGGATGTTCATAAAACGTGCCCAGAACCACACAACGTGGACGAAAATAAAATTCCCATGTAAATGAGGACAGAAACCACAAAGACACAAATTCTCACGCTGAGAAAATGCTGCAAATACCGGCAAATGAAACGACGCACACAAAGCTGGATTCAGAAAAACCGTTAAAACGCACGCGCGGTAAACCATCCGCCGGGTATGTATATGTATTCACGCTGCCACATGCACATACATAATAAATAATGTAATTAAACATTTATATACAGTATCTACGTATATTTCTCCGTAGGGATCACCAATCTACTCCGAGTGATAGATGCGAAGAGATGAAATTAGATTTTTAGATCGACACAAGATTGACTTTTGGCTAGATTAGACTCTTCAACCTGTAGGTGTTCCATCATTTTCTTAACTTTCCTTGTTCCAGTCGTATGCCTCCCTATGGCCCTATGGATGAAATCGCCAAGTCACAGGTGCGCCAGACTGCAACGGCTGAGCCATACGGCCCATGGGGCTCATGGGGCCCATGGGGAAGTATCCTCAGGAAGTCATGGAAGATTCAGGGCCCATGGCAGCCCAATGGTAAACCCCCAAAAGATCCCCAATCAAAACTGGGCTGAGATTTCCACAGGATTTGATGTGGCTGTTTCATTGGGGGTTGATATTATGCCTGGGGTATTGGCGGGTGTTTTTCTGATGTTTTCTTTTGAGTTGATGAACAAACCCCAATCAGAGCAGTTGATGGGGAGGAATGACCCTAAAAACGAAGGCCTTATTTGGTGGGTGACGCCCAATGATTTCAAAAATAGTGGTAGCCCCACTTGGAGATGCATATCTTCGGATGACCAGACCCTGTGCAGAAACAAACCTGCCGCGGCCCCAAACCAACTTCCCCAAGTTTCAAGAGGGAGGGGGTGGTAGAAACATATGAGCACAAACACGGTTTGCAAGGTCTAAAGCCTTTTATTGTGCATGGTGCTATGGAGTAGTTCACGGAGATGTGGAACCATTCAGGTTGAGGGACATCTGAGAAATCGGAAAGGCATATTACTTCATCACTAACTTTATCTATAAACGTATATGTACAATATTCACTATTTCATTCATGGAAGTGCTATATCATCAGCTACATCCAGAAACATCATGTTTAAACGAAAAAGCATCTGTGTTTCTTTTCCCAGGTTCTCCATCCAAAATCCCCAAAATCTCTCCAAGCTTCCCATGTAAGGTGCCATCATCTGTTGCACCTGTTGCACCTGTTGCACCTGTTGCACCTGTGGCACCTGCCATCCATAGGCTCCATAGGCTCCATAGGCTCCCAAATATCCCGGGGGCCCAGCAGGCCCCCGCGGCCCTGGGCGACCTTGCTGGCCCTTGGGGCCCTTGGAGCCCTTGGGAGGAAAACCAGGTCCGGGAGGTCCAATGGAAGCAGCCGCAGGGGCCTTAGATGTGGAGCCATCTACACATCATTGTGGCCATTATGTGTATAAATATAATTATAATATATATATATATATGTATATAAGTATTACTGTTATAATTACGATTGTTATTATTGTACAATTACATGAAATCATATCATTTCATATCCTTTCATATCGTACCTTATCGTATCATATATCGTATCATTTGGTATCATATCAAATATTCCATGCTAATTGAAATTGTATCTCAAATTGTGTTGTATGGTATTGTACATGTTTTCTTATGTTATGATATGTTGTGTTATTCTATGAATACTTGAATAAATAAATGTACGTGTATATATATATGTGTATTACGAAAATCAAAACAATGCCATGTATATCTGTATATATATATAGCATGAGCACGTGCACATCATAGAGTTTTCAGTGCGTCATTCATAAATATGATGAGTGCTTTCATGGAAATGAATATGTGCAACAGATGGAGGGCAAGCACAAAACATACAAAAACGAATACTGAAGATGTGACCAACAACAATAGCCATGAGTCCATCAGTCAAGTTTCAGTGGCTTAAAAAAAAACGAGAGGCACAGCACGGCACCCTTCAAGAGGCACAACAAGGCTTCGGCGAAACAAGGAGACATTTAGAAACAGCTTCGCGAGTGGTTGGTGACAATATGACACTGCTGAGTGATGGATGAACATTTCGAGTTGAACATGCAAGAATGTCTTCTAAGATGTAGTAGCAGCTGGGGAATGATGGGAATGTTTTGAGTGTTGGACCTCAGATTTCTCCGGTTCTGCTTAAGTCTGAGAAGTTAGGCGAAACCACATGAAGTAGTAGCCTTAAAATCTATCAGATACTGCACGTTTGGAGTCTTTGATTCATCTTAATACCCGCCAAAGTGGTCATATAGCAGGCCACAAGCAGACGGAAAGATATACATGCTACATCATGCTACATCATGCTACCCCTCTTGGAAATAGTTAAGAAATGTCAAGAATAGGAAAGGAACAATCCCAACCCAATTCATCAAATCACATCGTTTATGACTAGCGTTTCGGTGCAGACATGGGGCCGCGGCCGATGCTTGCAGCTTGTAGCCACTAATCAAAGGGACCTGGAGGAAATCCATGGAAATCCAGATTTTTCCAGGATCATCACACTTAAAAGCTACAAGTTTCTACGGAAACTAAAAAAAACAGGTAGTAAAATCCATCAGGACCTGGATAAGATATCCCATATGCTCCATGGTGCTGGAATATTTACCTACATGTGGACCATTTTTGGGGTAAATGTAGGTACATATTCCATACATGGAGCATCTGGGTATGATAGGATATGATAAAATAATGTAATAAGATATGAATAATATGAATACATTTGAACCATGTAATGTTTCCAATGATCATATGTTATCATATCATAAACCATGCAATGTTTCCAATCAACCTGGATCGCATGCGGGCCTGGATCGCAAAGGCCAGGAAGAACACCTCAGCAAAGCCCACTTGGCAAAGTGCAGTTCAGAAATGACTGGATATCTTAAGCTAATTGAGTGAAATCATTGAAATCGTGCATGCATTAAGTGTCCCTATCATGGTTGGTTGAATCTTTTGTTTCTAAAATTCCTAAGCATCAGTCCCCCAGCCCTCGGCACCTGCCACATGCGGCGCTGCGTCGCAAAACGCCCGGAAGCGGGCGCTTTACGCGCGACGCACTGCGTTACGGAGCGGAGCCATCCACGGCTGCAGGGCATAGAGGCATAGAGATCACTGCTGGGCAGAGTGGACCAAGTCTTGTTCGGTTTTAGTCTCCTTGTTTGGTCCTATCATGGTTGTGAATGTTGTGATGTTCTGTTATTTTTTGAGGGAATCCAACCGAGGTGTGGATCTGTCAGGTGTGAGATGCCTCTCTCTTTTTAGGACTTGGTCGGATGATAGTCATAATGAATGGTTGGCACAAGCTGGGATCCACGCATCGTATTGCATGTGGAGTTACCTAATTATTTATGGCTGCTAAATAAACCATGCTGGCTCAACCCCAGTCGAAACCAGGCGCATCAGCCCAGGTCCGGAGCACCCCAGGTGGCACTGACTTTTCATTCTGAAGCAATCATTGTGGATGCGCATTTGGGCAGCATCTCTGCTTGTTGTGACATTCCGTGTCTGACATTCCCTAAAAACGCTCCTCCCATCTCCTCGACCATCACCGGCCGTCCGAATTAACGCATCGAATTGGACCAGCTGGGAGAATTGGACTCACGGTATGAGCGGGTATGAACCATAGCAAGAATGGCATACATTTCGGAAATTCCAAGCAAAATTGATTTTGACTCAAACAAAAAAGGGGAATCAAGTTATTCAACCAACAAAACCTCAACAAACATCAGGAAACTGTCGTGAATGCTCACAACATCACAAAAGCATGGATGCAACAGGATGCAAAAGCAGGAAAAATCTGAAGTGGCCAAATGGTCTTGAATTGCCTCCATTCTTCTTCCGATCACACTACCCCCTCTGCAGCGTGCTGAGTGCAAAGCGAAAACAAATGATAGTAGCAATCAGAATGTGAAACAAACTACTTGGCCACTACACTTCAAGTAATCCAATCAATTAAGTTTGCTGACAAGTCCCTTCCCAGTCATACTGGCACCAGTTCACATATATGTTGACATCAGTAGGGTAAAGTACCAACTGGAAGCGCCCATTAGGCTGGCTGAGTGCTGGCTACTGCCGGTTGCAAACTCCCTCTCGGTCGCTCTTCAACGGCATGCGCCAATTGCCAATTACTTGCTGAGAGGGTGGCTTGGCCAATTGAAACACGTACAGCTGAAAGTCTTGACCAAGCAAGAAGGGCATAGAATAGACTGGTTCCATGCTGTGTGGGCCGCGGTTGTACACCAAATGGTGCTAAAGACTACTCTATAAGTTGCCTTCAACCTTCATTTCACCCAAGATTTGCACCTAATTATTGCTCCAGTGCAAGATCGGGCCGTGCGTCCCAATTAGGCTTCTTAGGCATCTTCAAAGCCTCTTCCAGCAGTTTCAATACCTCAGGTGTAGCCTCCAGCCCGCCGGCAAGGTCTGACAGAAATCGTTCAGAATCATTCTGTTTCGATCATACATGCAGTTGTCAGCAGGAACACCACAATCACGATCAATGGATTATAACCACCAGCTTCATCCTCCTCATCATCACAATAACTACCACCATCACCAACACCATCCAGGATCCTTATACCCGTTCAAGCCATTGACTGCACTGCATCTTCGTTGTCATTAACAATATCTTCACCTTCATTTTCCAGCTGATTCGTCCTCGTCATGAGTTACTTGAAGCCACCTCGGCTTGAATTCTCTTCATATCATATCGGCATATATCGGCCATAGAATGGACTCATCAAGAGGATCAACGCCATCTTTTACGGCTTAAAAACATGCGTATGTATCTATCTATCTATCTATCTATCTATCTATCTATCTATCTATCTAGAACTGTATACTCCAAAGGGTTACATACCACATACTTATGTTCACCGCTTCCAGCCAGATCCTATAAAACAATGGAATATGTTTTTCCTCAAAAAATGTGAAAAATGTAAACCAAAAAAGCAACCAGAAAAAAAAAACAAAAAAAAAACAAAAAAAATGCCAAAAAAAAACAAAGGCAAAAGGAACATAGAAAAAGCAAAACTTCAAATCTCAATCTGTATTTGGTTGCAAAAGCAAATACCTGGCCTCATGCAAACAAATATTCAAATTACCAGCAGCAAGCAAGAAGAACATGGAGCAAAAACCTATTCCTTCTATTCTAACAATGATAAAATCCAAATCAGAAAACATCATGTCCTTCAAAATTGCCATTGCACGCATAAGTAAGAATGAACTTTTTCAAAGCAAGATGGTCACAAGATGGTCACAAAACTAACAAGTACAAGTAACAGTAAGTAACAAAAATCACAAAAGTGCACTAAGGCTAAGGCATAAGGCTGCTTTAAGGCAGAAAAGCAGAAGCAACAGGGAAATGGCACGATACTAAAGAATAAATTAGATGCTAACTGCTAACAGTTATTATTAGCAGCATCAGTCCAATTGCTTCCTCAAAGGCTCTAAGAATCTAAGATTCCAAAGCTAACCCAGGCTCTCTTAGACTGTGCTACTTTAAAGCCCAGGGCCCAGGGCCCAGGACCCAGGCCCTCCTTGAATCATAGACATGCCAGGGCTGCCATGCAAGGCTGGGCAGAGCATATTGGGAAACAAAAAATATTTGAGCAGCAGGAAATGCTGTGAATACCTACCAGGCCACATTCCCTTAGAATTTCTTAATTGATTTGCTGCTTTTTGTTTTGCTTTTTTGTTGTACATTGTACATTGTATATGTTTTTACTAAAAAGTTTTTACATATTTTTGTTGGACTTCTATAGTTTTAGAGTTTTAGACAGACTTTAAAACATTAGGACTTTAGGACTTTAAGATCTGGAATCTGGCTGGTAATGATACTAATAGCCGCCATATTTGCCATATTCATATTCCATATTGCCATATCAGATTTCATCCCTGATGAGATGACAGAGCTAGTACCTGGTACCTGGTCATTGCCATTCCATGAAGCCAGATTTAATAGATTGATCAGATTGCATGGTCACCTTTTCTTGCATGTGACCTTTGGATGCTTTCGCTATAACTTCACTCTATAGTCAGTTATTTGGACAGAGGCATTTTGGCCCTTTTTGTCTCGCAGATATATTCGATATCTGCTACCTGCTACCTGTTACATGGGTTTCCTGGTATAAATTTACAGGGCGTGAGTTAGATCGTCTGTTCAACAGGGGACCAATGCTCAGTTACCAATTCAAGCTGCCTAGCGGCATAGCCCCGGCAGCCGACAAGTGAAATGTCCCCGCGGGAATAGGAATTGAAGGCAAAGAGGCAAAGAGGTTAGTTTGAAAGAGAATTTTTTGAAAAAGATGATGGGAATGGAAATATTTTGTTTATGTCTATGTTATGTCTGTTATGTCCAAAGAAAGAAATTTGAAAGAGTGGCTGCGAGATTTTGTAGCAAAAGAGACTGCTACTGATACTTACTGTTCCATACAGCCACTGAGTCGCTGAGTAGCTGGTATCTGGTACATTGTGTACATTGGTACATTGGTACGTTGACTTCAACCCTTCACACTGTTGGGCTCGGCTTGGTCTTTGGCTGTGGCAATTGGGAATTTGCCGTGTGTGTATGTGTCATTTCTAGTCTTAGTCTTAGTGACCTAGTGACTCTTAGTGACTTAGTGTCTTAGTCTTAGACTTAGTCATACTCTGAATCAAAATCTTGGCCGCTTGCCTTGCCGCTGGGCCAGCGGCCAGCCGCCAGCCAATCGATCCAAATAACCGACCTAACCGCAACCTAACCCGCTTGAGACCAATCAGACCTATCCGGTCCAATGCCTGCTGAAACACTGTGTTATTTGACTCTTTGACTTTGCCGTTTTCCGTTTGCCCGCATGTGATCTGTTGGTTGCCGGGTACGGGTACCGGTTGGTTGGTTATGGTTGGTTTCTCTGCTTTTTAGATTTTAGATAGATAGTTACTTACAAGGTCGACCTTGTTAGTTTCGCACACGCTCGGTTCGTTTGGCTTGGCGGCTTGGCCGACAGAGATAGACTTAGACAGACAGAGACAGACAGAGACAGACAGAGAGAGAGAGGCAGGGACAGAGAGACAGAGAGGCAGGGACAGAGAGACAGGCAGACAGGCAGACAGGCAGGCAGGCAGGCAGACAGACAGACACAAAGACACACAGACAGACACAGACACAGACACAGACACAGACACAGACACAGACACAGACAGAAAGACAGCGGATCAATAGGCGTGTAAAGCGCAAAACACAGCCGTCGCCGTAGCCGTTATCGCCGTTGTCGTTGTTGCCGCCGTTTGGGAGAAGTTGTTTTGTTTTGTCAAGTTTTGTCGCCATCGCCGTCGCGGTTGTTTCAATTTCGCCGCAATGCCCGTTTGTTGTCGAAAACGAAAATGAATGAAAACTGAAATCTGAACTGAAATCACGCAAATGCAAAGCAGCAAAACCCAACATGTGATCAATGTGATCACACTTGAAGAAATCCTTTGACTGTCACTCAGCCGACCACACAAGTCACATGTTTTTTTTTCACGCCTTGCGGCCCTGCGGTCCTTGTGCCTTTCGGCAAGTCAGTCCTGAGAACATTCAGCTTGTGGCCGCTGTGGCCAATGCAGTTTCGTCCATCAGACATCAGACATCAGAAAAATCTACGAAAGCTTGACCGAGTGTGAGAACGACCGTTGAGACGCATTGGACACCTGTGACCTTGAGGTCCCATTTGATGGGGGTCGATGATGTTCCCTGTGATGAACTTCAGAAAGCTGCTGCAGATGCTGCTCGCTTCCGCTTCATGGATTTGGTCAAGATGTTTGACCCTGACACATTGGAACCCTTGGAATGGTTTTTGACAGCATATGAGCCCCTACTGAGTACTGACTGAGATCCAGAGTTTGCAGCGGCAGCAGAGAGATTCAAGGGCAAAGGCCTCACCATGGACATCCGTATCCACCACACAGATCAGCAGGGCTATCATCCCCTGCTGATGTGTGTGGTGGATACGGGAACCGCACTGTAGATGGAAGCAAACCGCAGCCAGAGCGAAACCAGATGGAGTCATCCGTATCCACCACACAGATCAGCAGGGCTACCATCCCCTGCTGATGTGTGTGGTGGATACGGGAACCGCACTGTAGATGGAAGCAAACCACAGCCGCCACAGCCATAGCGGCCATAGCGAAACCAGATGGAGTCAGAGTCAGATGAAGACAGTTCGGTCCAACACGGCTGCTGCTTCATGATATTCACTACTGCTACTCATTACTCAACGAATTGAGATACGATTCGTTGCGATGTCAATGTTACAATGTTGCGGACATTCCAGTGATCACTGAGATCACTGAGCAGCACTGATTCCATTCTGATTCTGATTGATCCCAATCAAACTATCAAACCTTGCAATTGCCAAGGCAAATTTTCTGTCCCTCGCGCAGGTGGTGCCAGGATCTGAATCTAATGACTGTGACTTGCTATTGACATGGCTGTACTGTGTCCCAAAGTGACAAGAGAGCGGGCCAGCCAAGCCAAGGTCCTGTGCTTACCAAAAATTCCAATGTGACTGTACAGTACAGTACGCTGTATGAGAATATGATTCAATATGATGACTCTATTGATCACAGGAAGGAAATTTAGAAGTCAAACTTCAGACACTTCAGACAATATGGACAATCTAAAAGCCAAGATGTGGCAGAAGCGTGGCAGCCGGCAGAAAAGATAGACAGCTAGATCAGCTAGATTAGATTAGATAGATTCATAGAAAGATAGGTAGATGGGTTGGAAAGTAGACAGGTCAGATAGAAAGAAGGATAGATAGATAGATCGATGGCTAGATACATTCTATCGGATAGATGGATTGCTTGATGGATAGAAAGATAGATAGATAGATAGATAAATAGATAGATAGATAGATCAGATAGATCAGATAGATCAGATAGATCAGATAGATCAGATAGATCAGGTGGATCAGATAGATCAGATAGATCAGATAGATCAGATAGATCAGATAGATCAGATAGATCAGATAGATCAGATAGATCAGATAGATCAGATAGATCAGATAGATCAGATAGATTAGATAGATAGATAGAAAGAAAGAAAGAAAGAAAGATAGATAGATAGATAGGTAGGTAGGTAGATAGATCGATAGATAGATAGATCAGATAGATCAGATAGATGGATAGATTAGATAGATAGATTCATGATAGGCAAATAGATAAGCAGAAAGATAGAAAGACCGATAGAGAGGCAGATAGATAGACAAAAACAAAAGATAAGTAGACAGGAAGTGATAGTGACAGTGAGACAGATAGATCAGATAGACTCGACTATGATTATATACAGAAAGATAGATAGAAAAACAAATAGATAGACGGGTAGATAGATAGAGGTAGTTGTAGTTGTAGTTTGTAGTTATTGTAGTTGCAGTTGTAGTTGTAATTGTAATATAGTTGCAGTTGTTGCAGCCGCAGTCGTAGTTGCAGTTGCAGTTGCAGTTGTATGTGTAGTTGTAGGGGTAGCGGATGTGTTAGTTGTAGTTGTAATATTGTAGTGGTGTAAATTGCAAATGAAGTTGTAATTGTAGTTAGTTAAAAACAGTTAATAATAATAGTTGTAATCGCAGTTGTAATTCTAGTTGTAGTTACTTGAGGCCAAAGGGAAGGGAACGAAAGCTATCAATTTGAAAGTGGGAAGGGTAAACCAACGAGATTTCTGAGTGAGGCAGCTGAGAGAACGCATTGATTTCTGTTATGTTGGCACGCCGCAAGACAGTTCTACGGTGTTATTTTGGCATGGTACCAGGTACCAAATCGGACTGTTTCAAGTCAAAAGCAGCGGCACCAAATCGGAAGCTTCGCATTTATGTTGGGACAGTAGCGGTGGGAGATGGGAGGCTTTGAAGTTGTGTTGCATGAGTAGCGGTACCAAATCGAATGTATCAAGTTGTGGTGCAAAAGTAGCGGTACCAAATCGGATGCTTTGAAGGCTTGTTGCAAAAGTAGCGGTACGAAATTGGATTCTTTGCAGTTGTGGTGCTAAAGTAGCGAGCGGTACCAAATCGGATGCTGTGAAGGTGTGTTGCAAAAGTAGCGGTACCAAATCGGATGCTTTGAAGTGTGGTGAAAAAGTAGCGGTGCCAAATCGGATGCTTGGAAGTTGTGTTGCAAAAGGAGCCGTACCAAATCGGATGCTTTCAAGTCAAAAGTACAGCGGCCTTGAATTTGTGATGCAAAAGTAGCGGTACCAAATCGGATGCTTTGATGTTGTGTGCAAAAAGAGGGAAAGCAAAGCGGATGCTTTCAAGTTGCGGTGCCAAAATAGCAGTACCAAATCGGATACTGGATTAGGAGGAAGTGAGGTGGTGGGTGAGACAAGCGGCTGGTAACGGTACGGCCAAAGAAGCTACATCCCCGGCCCTACACTGTGCTTGGCATTGGTGTGACTTGGCACGGTCACATGTCAAATGCTTCAAAAAGTTGTCATGAAATTAGCCGCGTCTTGTCAAGTTACGCAAAACCCGGGAGAAGATGCATCAACGCGATGTGGCAATACCAAATTGGGTGCTTGCACCCTTGTGATATCCATCACTCTGTCTTCTCTCCAAAGAAGTGACCCTCCGCGACCCCTTCAAAACACATGGACCAGGGAGGGTTTGAACCTGCAGAGGGGGGGGCCCTTCATGCGAATGGTTCACTTCAGCCAGAAACCTTTGATGTGATAGATCACTGCCTCTTCCCGAAGACTGCCCCCAATACATTCCTAAAGGAAAGCCAACTCCAGCTAGCAAGCTAGCTTTCGTGACTAGTTGTGGTTGCAGTTGTAAGTAAGGGTAGTTGTAGTAGTTGTAGTTGTAGTTGTAGTTGTCTTAGCGATGTAATTGTAGTTGTAGTTTTGTAGCTGGTAGTGGTAGTGATAGTGTGGCAGGGTTACACAGATATATGGCACGTCTGCCTAAACTTTACTAAACTAAACTACATTGCATCATTAATTACTCATTATATACTTACTTATTACTCATTACTCATTTCATTACTCATTATCCATCATTACCAAAAGGTGGTGGCGGAAGTTTCAAAGATCGGAAACAGGAAACCGTTTAGGAGAGGTTAGTCGCTTAGTTAATTAGTTGTTGTGATGCAGGGATGGCAGAGCGAGCCTGCTGATGGATTGAGAAGTGAGAAGTGGTTGGAGGCAGCGCAATGTAGTTGTAGCAGCGTAGTTGTAGTTGTAGTTAGTAGTTATTGTAGTTAAGTTGCAGTTGTAGTTGTAAGTTGTAATTCGCAATGTAGTTGCAGTTGCAGCCTTAGTCCTAGTTGCAGTTGCAGTGGTAGTTGTAGTTGTGGGTGTAGTTGTAGGGGTAGTGTTTGTTGCCGTTGTACTTGTAGTGCAGTTAAAGTTGTAGTTGTAATTGTAATTCTAGTTGCTAGTTGTAGTTGTAGTATTGTAGGGGTACGGGTATGGGTAGTGATAGTGGTAGTTGTAGCTTGAGTTGTGTTTTGATTATGGCTGTAATGAAATGGATTTAATTTCATTGTAATGTTGTATTGAATAGTTAGTTAGTAGTTGTAATTCTAGTTGTTGTAGGGGTAGTGGTAGTGGATGGTGGTTGAAGTTGTAGTCACAATTGCAGCAATTGCAGTTGTAGTTGCATCTGTAGTTTCTAGTTGTAGGTCTTGTATCTTGCAGGTGTAGTTGTAATGTAATGATATGTATAGTAGTTAGGTTGTAGATTGCAGTTGTGGTTGTATAGTGTGTAGTTGTAGGTTAAGTTGAAGTTGTAATTTTCTTGTAGCGGCGTTGTGGAGTGCAGTTGTAGTTGTAGTAGTGATTGTTGTAGTACTGATCATTGTAATTTTGTGTAATGTTTTCTGTTTTCCCAAAATAAAGCAATTCTGCAAGACTTCCTCAATTTGGGAAGTTGACATCAAAACAAAAATTCAAAGATGTCACAAAGCGACAAAGCAATTTTGTGAGGCCAGGCTTCTTTCAAAAATGAAATGTTTTGTATACCATATGCTACATACTTTATAGTATACTATATATGATATCTGTATTTCAATACTATATCCGTATATCCGATATATCCAATTTGATATTGCGGATTTCAAATCCAGCTAGTGACTTCATGTTTTGTCTACTTATTATAATTATGATTGTCTACTTATTCTGAAGGGATTGCAATTATAACTATAGTAATTGTAGTAGAACTTTACTCATTTTAAATCTAATCTAATTCTTTTTGTTTTTTCTGTTTTTCATTTTTTGTCTTTTTTTTGGTGCTTTTTTGTTGCTTTTTTTTGCATTTTGATTTGCTTTTTTTTTTGGTTGCTTTTTTGTTTTACATTTTTTCACATTTTTCACAAATAAATTGATTTTCAAGTTTATAGGATTCTGGCTATCTGGTGAACATAACAATATACAGCAAATTCAGAAAGTAAGTCAACACGGTGACGTGTGGTGTACTTCTTGGCCTTTGGCTTTACTGTACCACCAAAAAAAAGCGAAACAAAGCCCAGCCCCCCGTTTCTACGCCGCGCCTGCTGGGAAATGTGCAGGATCACGTGGCTGAGGCCCCGTTCCCCTGCGACACATCCAGCCATGCATTTCTTCCAAGTCTTGGGACTCAACAGACTTGGCACATCTTGGCACCACACGGATATGAATCTCTTCAATCCAATGCTTCACTCGCTGAAGCGAACCTGGTCAGGTGATGGTGAGGTGGCACGGTGGCACGGGAGATTTCTTCGCTCACATATCATACCACTATCCAGATTCTTGATGACTACCAGGTTCCCTCTTTGTTCGATTCGTTCTAGATGCATCTACATGCACATTGACATCCAGGGTAAATGACCCACGCCCTTGCCATGCCCCGGCCTAGATTTCGCTGCAGAATGTAACCTCGAGTTAGACGCATGTGACGCATGTGGTGAAAACACCTGAAATCTCACATGGATCGGAAAAATGTATGTGATTGATGGTTGTGCCACGCATCCCAAGCTATGCCAATATAGACGTCAGGGTCATCCTCCCATAGGTATTAGGTTGGCACTTGATCAGGGGGAACCGGTCCCCTTTGCAACATCATCTTGATCAGTCAAGTGCGACGACTGAACTGAGCTGGTGCATCTTTGGTTTGAAGGTTGGCCCTAGCCCATCACATTAATCCCGGAATTGCGAAAAAAGGAAACCTCTGGATTTTCCCATGATTCACTTAAGTCATCAATGTGTGGTTTCCTGTTGAACAATTCCCATATTTTCCCTGCAATTTACCAGTGGTTTGCAACAATTCCTGAAGTCGTCGCGCCTTGTTCCTTCTGGAAGCGATCAAGTGAAACCGAAAGCCATCGATCCAAGGCCTCTGACGATCGATGGGACGATGAGGGCAGCGTGCAATTTGGTTGCGGGAGATCTCAACCATTTTCCAGCGGGATATCAGGACAAAGTATGACAAAGTTGTATCAAATAGTATGATTAATAATGAAAATACTGGGTTCTTCATGTTTTTTCTATTTTCCTCATCTTACCTCCAAAGTTAGAATGGAGCAGGATGGAACGAGATCGTTCTATGGGACAAACTCACCTTTTGTTTCCATCAAACATATCAAAACTAAGGTGAAACCGGAAGATGCTGTTCCCACTCTGTCATGCAACAATGTTGAATGATGTTGAATGTTTAGACTAGGTTCAGCATGCACTCCACCTGGTTAGACTACCTAGACCAGCACCCCCAAAGGCGATCTTTTTTGCTACTGTCACAATTGTATACAATTGTCACCGTTCATGGTGGTTCTGGGATATACCCATGACTGGAGAAAGGATGACCAAACGGAAGTATAAGTATGGATGGATGGATGGATGTATGCATTCATGGATGCACGCATGTGATATTGATTAATTATGTACATGTCATGTACTTTACTATTCAATACTCTTCACCTATTCCGGCTTGGACGTCTTTAGATGGGTTTCTCTGAACATGAGGTGATTACCCAATTCGATGGTTAATCATGGTTAATCAGATTTATCATCAACCATCATTTTCGCATACATGCTAATTTTGGGGTATATCGGCAAACTGTAAACCGCATTCTGAGCAAAAACCAAATACATACACATATTAATTACTGTTTATATATGGTCACATGGATTCCCATTGTATGTATCCGCATCCCATTGTATAATCCTCGACTTGAAACAGCGGTCGTTGAAATCACACCATGGCATCTGGCGCCTGTCGAGTGTCGGTGATCCAGGTCTGCAACTCTCCGTGCATTTGCTTCAAACTCGGCGCTCACAAGGCCCAGGGGTAAATCGCCAGAGGGCCTACAGGGCCTACTGACAATTAAGTAATACCCTTTGGATCCCTCTGGTAATCTAACATATAGCTGTGAAAAATGTGGCCCATTTATAGATGATTATAACCTATAGTATTGCAAATGGTGGTTTCCATAGGTATGTTTCATTACCAGGATGTTTCATTATGGCATTTCCTTTAAATGCAAGCACAGATCTTCAATGGTTTTTACAACCGAGTCATGGATGGGCTCCATTCGTTTCTCCGTGGCTTTCCATAGATTGCATTGGCGATTGGTCAAAAGCTATGGAACCATGATGATCAGGGGATTACCATCCATAAATCCAAGCTATAGCAAATTTTGACCCATCACCATATATATATATATATATGTATATACAGTATATATATTTAAATATGTAATACTCTCAGCTACTTGGCAGGGGCCCTGGATATTGCATTTCAGACCCTAAAACCCGGGTCTTTTTAGGAGTTACCTGAGGGTTTCCCGAGATTTTCTTGTCTGATCATAGACCTTTTGCCTGTTTTGGAGGCAAGGGTCTACTCTAATTTTACCCCGTTAACATGAAAATAACAGTAAGGTCTGGAGTGGGGTCTGGAATGCCTCATGTTACGAGTCATGTTACGTATCTACAAAAGTTTGTGGAGCCTACTCATTCCTCATAGCATGGCAGTTGAAGCAAGGATGAAACGCACAAATCGAGATGAAACAGCATTTCACTTTCATGGCATTCATGTGAACATCACTTGAATTGCACATATCATCAAGGCCCTTTTGGCTTGGAAAAAGACAGCGGCATTTTGCACGTTTGTTTCGCATGGTAGCGGAGCCCAAGACGGGCCTCTGCTAACCTTGTGCCCTGGAACTTTCTGAACTGGCTGGGATTTGGAGCTCAGACACAACAGCAAATACTGTTTGGAATTTACACTGGTGACTGAAGGTCAATACAGGTTTCTGGACAGGTGCGCGTTGGTGAAGCTTGACAAATTTCTGGCTGGACAAGTAAGAGATTTCAACTGGTTTTCTTTGCAGTTTTAGCCATAGGTTTTTCTGCAAGAGGGTTTCAGTGCGTGTGAGATTTCTTGGGTGGGTTGACATGGAGCCTGGACAGCCAGCCAACCCTTTTGCTGGCACAGCTGGTGGATCACCTACAGGTTCACCGACAGCTGCAGGTGGAGTGGAGATGGGCAGTGCTGAGATGACCCGTCGTTTAGTGGCGGCTACAGAAGCAGCTGCACTGGCTGCTCAGAAGGCAGCTGAAGCAGTTCAGTCAAGGCCTGCTGGGGAAGACAGTAGGTCATGGTGGAATTTATTGCCCAAACCTCCAACGTTTGACCATGCAACACGTGAAGCTGAGATAGCTGCATGGAAGGAATGGTCATGGCTGCTTGAGCAGTATTTGGGATCAGTGGATCCAAAATTTACAGACGATATCCAAGGAGTTCGAGCACAGTTGGACAGATCAGTTGATATGGTGGATTTTTCTGACTCTGAACGGCAAAGGAATAATTTTCTCTACAGTATGCTTTCCTCACTTCTTCGTCAACGAGCTTTGTTGGTTGTCAAACAAGTGACAGGCAACAATGGACTGGAGGTTTACAGGTTGCTGGTACAGCAAAATGAACCTGCTAGCAAGAACAGGAGCATGAGCTTGTTGAGCGTGATAATGTCTTGGCCGGCTTTCAATGGAAAATCTTCGTTGATGCAGCAACTGCTGAAACTGGAACATGCCTACGGTGAATATGAACGGCTTGGGACAAAGCTCAGTGACGACCTCAAGACGGCAGTGCTCATGCGTTCCATCACGGGACAACTTAAGACATGGTTGCAGCTGCAGGTGAATGAAAGCACCACGTACAGCAGAGTGAGGGAGATGGTCATGATGTATGACTCCCAGACTACAAAATGGTCTGAACAAATGGTGCTTGGAGTTGATGCGGCCAGCAGCTCAGTTGATGGACCAATTCCAATGGAAGTTGATAGGATCCAGTCGAAGGGAAAGCAGAAGGGAAAAGGCAAGGGAAAGACAAAGGATAGAGATGGTCAGAAAGGAAAATCCAAGGGAAAGCAGAAAGGCAAAGACGGTCAGAAGGGAAAAGGAAAGTTCCAGAAAGGGGCAAAAGGTAGCAGTGATGGGTCAAATGGAAAAGGAAAGGGTGAGCCCAAACAATGCTATGTATGTGGCAAAACCGGGCATTTTGCTCGTGACTGTTGGCAATCTCCTCAGATTCGAAATGTGGCTTCTGACGTGATGCAGGGATCGACAGAGCAAGGTTCTCCAGCTTCCTCTCTTGGAGGCATGTCAAGTGCATCACACCAGCAAGGAGCCCAGTTGCCAACAACGCCTGCCACTCAGTACAAAGTTGCAAGAATTGTTGAAGTTAGTGAAGATGTTTCAAAACATGATGATCTGATTTTCGACATGCGTGATTGCAGCAGCCCCAGCAGTTTCCACGGCAGTGTTCATGTTGTGCATCATTACATTGGTGATTCTTCAGATGATTCCATGGATGTTTGCAGAGAGCTTTGTTGCTTTGATGGTGCAGTGCGGGCCGTGTCTGGAGCTGATGGTGATTCATGTTCAGAACGCATAGAAGAAGTTCACAGCATTCTCATAGATAGCGGCGCAGATGCATCAATCTTTCCATCATCATTGTTTGACAAGGGACGGCAGGTTTCTGGATCAATTGGCAAGCTGTGTGATGCTCAGGGAGTTGAGATTCCATTGACTGCAGTTCAAGACATGGAAATCAGGTTGCAAGATACTGCAGGACGCACCATATTGCTGCGTGAGACAGTTGCCCTGTCAGATCGGGTGACCCAACCAATTCTCTGCTATGGCCACCTCCTTGAAAGTGGCTGGGGCATAGATGCTGGCCATCAGACGCTCAGTCACTCAGTTGCTGATGCCCATGTTCCATTGGAGTTTCAGAGCAAGTCAATTGTAGTACATGGAACAATACGTATGCTTCAGCTGCAGGAACCTAGTGATGACTGGTTACAGGTGCGTGCCATACAAGCAGAGGTGAATGATGATGTTGTCAACGGCTCAGTTGGGTGGCAATTGGACTCACGTGGTTGTGGAATTGGGCGTCATTTTGATGAAAAGCACCAGGACCCCTTGTTGGTGAAGCCAGACCTTCCTGGTCACTTTTACAGAACAACGTTAGTTCAAGGGGCTGGTGGCAAGTGGTTTGTTTTGGAGTTGTGTGAGCAGTTGGAAGACTTGGTGCAATTGGATTCAGGATTTCATGAGATGAAAGGACGCAGAAACGTGATAACTTTTATCACTGACTCCGAGAAAGACCCAAGTGTGCTTGGATTTACTCTGGTGGATTCCCCACCTGAAAGATTTCCTGTTGAACCTGAAGAGGATGTTGAAATCCCTGACATTGAGCCTCCAGTTGAAGGTGCTGACATACCTGAAGGCCACCTAGTGATTCAACCGACGCCAGAGGATGAGGTCAATGTCAACGGTACAGTTCTCAGGGAAAGCAGCAATCTTGCCTCATTGCGTGCTGGATGTTCCTTTTACAAGTTGTCTACAAGTGGTTCAAAGATGAAATGTTTCAAGAGACTTCTGGAGCATTCAAAGAAGCTTGAACTGGATATGGTGATGGCAGCAGCCAGGGAGTCCCAGCGTTCTCAAGAGAGGCATCCACTTGCACCAGTTTCTGCTGAAGTTCCAACAGAGTATGAACAAGCGCAGCACAGATTAACACACCTTCCATTCCAGTCCTGGTGCCCATCATGCTTGGCACACCGTGCACGTGCAGACAAGCATGCAAGGACTGGAGAGTCACATGCAGGAGCTGTGCCAACAATCAGCTTTGACTATTTCTTCACGAAGTCAGATGGTGAAGCAGCGCGTGAAGGTGAGGCAAATAGCATCACTTCTTTGATTGCAGTGGACAGCCATACAATGTTTGTGACTGCAATTCCGTTGGAAGGTAAGTCTCAGTTGGACCATGCAAACCGTGAGTTGATCAGGTTCATCCAAATGCTTGGACATGGTGAGGTGATTCTGCACTGTGATAATGAGCCAAGCATACTCCAGCTGAAGCGTTTGGTTTTGAGGACACGACAGGCCATGGGTTTGAAGACAAGAGAGAGCAGCACGGTGGCATATGACAAATCCAATTCCCTGGCAGAAAACTGCATTGGTCGTGTCAGACCCCTTGCTTGCAGCCTCATGCACCAGCTTCATGGCAGATTGGGTATTCAACTTCCAACATCGAGTGCCATCTGGAGCTGGTCATTGAGACATGCAGCGTGGCTCATATCACGGTTTTCTGTCATTCGAGGAGCCACTCCACATGAATTGGCATTTGGCAGGACGTTTTCAGGTGAGCTTTGCGAGTTTGGTGAGCCGGTGTTTGGATATGTGATTCCAACTACAAAGACAGCTGCAAAGTGGAAGAGGATGATTTTCTTGGGCAAAGCTGAGACTCAGAACAGCTACGTTTTGTTTGATGGCCAAGCCATTGTTCTATCACGAAGTGTTCGAAGAATCAGCACAACTTGGAGGTCACACATGGCATACTACTTGCACTGCAGATGTTTTTCATGGCAGTTCAAAGCAGGTTTTGGTCCTCGAGTTCTCCCAACAATGAAGAAGGCAGTACCCAAGGCAGTGAGTTTTGACATGCCTTTGGGGCCCATCGAGGACAGCCATCTCCATGACAAGGATGCTGAAGATGTGATAGAACATGCAAAGGCTGAACATCAAGCTCAGGAGGAGCAGCGTGTGATGGCTGCTGAAGATCCTGTGCTACAAGCGTTGCAACAGCAGCCACCAGCGTCTGCAGCTGAAGTTCAGGGTGGAACTTCTGAAGATACAGTTCCAAGTGTAGCTTTGCCAAGTGGCACAATGAATGTGGAAGCTCCAGCTGGTTCAGCGCTTAGTACTGGCCAGGCTGGAGCATCATCAAGTGAAGACCCAGGTCTTGCAGTGCCAGTGACTCCAC